CACCGGTCCCTCAGACCACCACCAGCAGGCAGGGTGGGTTAAGTGTCTTGCCCAAGGACACAACAGCAGCACTCTTTAGTCTGAGCTGGGGTCGTACCTGCAACTTTCCGATTACTGGACAACCCGCTCTACCTCCTGAGCTACTGCTGACCCAGTAGCAGCAGTTTTCCTCCACACCACTAGTCTTGCTGTGTCCATCAGTCGACTTTGGTTCCAGTAATTAGTCAGAGCCGGCCAAAACTGCTGAATGCACCTGATGAAGGCATCAGGCTGTCGGACGCCGTTTCAGACCAGAGTCTGGGCCCTTGTTGGGCTGGTTAACACTGCCTGCATGTGCTGTTGAACTTTTACACCAATTTAATTGTGTCTACAACGTTAAAAGTTCGATAACATTTAAATGAAACCAATCCACATAAAATACCTTCCCTTTAGTGGTACAACAAACATGGCTTCACTTTAGTTTGAATATTATCTCCTGTGTTTAAGCCCACACTGCATTCTGTGAGCTAGGGGTAACCGATTATAAGTGATGTGATGGTTTTACTGCAGCTGAGGAATGCTAAATGTAGATACAATCGGGCTTCTCGTTAGTGTAGTGAACAGAGGGTTAGAGCCCCCCCCCCCCCCCCCTCCCACAGTGACCGCCCCATAATATGAAGATTCCTCAGTGACGGCGCTAACAAGATTAAATACAGCTTTTACTGGTTCCTGGCACGTTGTAGAGCAAAACATTAAGACTTGGTTGAGACATTTTGAGGAACAAATGCTGAAATCCAAGAAGGGCCGAAGACAACAAATCAGCCATCATCTCTGACAGACAGACATCCTGTGCTGTCATTGCCTCCTCATAACAATGTCAGCTGTTGTCAGTCTCCAATGTACAGTACACAACATCAGCAGGACTTGTTTTCAGCACACACACACTGTGAATCAGTGTGTCGTCACACAGATTGAATGGCTGAGCGCTGTCACCACGAGCAGAAGAGTAGGAGCAGACCTACATGTTGAGGCTGCAGACCGAGTGTATCATTACAGGTGATGAGAGTGCTGGGTCGCTGATAACAGCGGTGTGTGTGTGTGTGTGGGGGGGGGGGGGGGGGGGTCAGGTGGGGATTCTAGTAAATGTAGAGCTTGGCAACAAACTGAAGTGTTATCACACTTGAGGGCTTTAGCAGAGCTTTAAAGATTAGTCAGCATGGTGGTTGGCAGTGATTCAGGTTTTTTATGGTTCTGTTAGAACTTTATTTCTAATTTGCTGTTCAGTAAAAGTTCTAAAAAGACAAGCATGGCCTAAAGGTCTTCCGTGGTTTACAGCAGCATTTTTTACCATCAGATAGGGAGGCTGTAAAACCTAAATTCTCTCCTTGGATGAGCCCAAAATGGGCCTTTTGAGTTTCTTGAAAAAAAAGGGGGAGGACTTTTTGGTAACGCCTACAATCCCTGGCATCTGACTGGTCCAGCTCGGACCTTAATAGAGGAATACACTTCCTCTAAACATCAACTGAAGCAAAGATTTCCAGCCTTCGTGCTAAATTAAAAGTAAGTAAAATAATGTGTGACAATCAACATTGTTTGAAATGGAGGTAGGTTGAAGTATGCACTTTTAAGGCCCTACCCCTTTTACATATTTTAATGTTTCAAAAGAAAAAACATCAAATGCAAATGTATCAGTTCATTTGTTTTACCTAATTTACACTTTTTTAATGAAAAACATGGAAAGGAAAAAAGAAATACAACAAAGTACAACTCAGAACTGTGCAGTCAAACAAAACAAAGGCTGTCATCGATACACTATCAATAATTTCTAACCTTTTCCAGGTTTTTACCGCTCTCCGTTCATATATACATTAAAGATTTGTTCTTTGAAATTTTTTTAATTGGCTTATGTTTTTACTTTACTTTGCTTTGTGTCATCTGTTAGACCATTCCATATTTTAATACCTGCCACTGAGATACACCAGCTTGTTCTGAAAGCAGATGTTTTAAAATTCAATGTGGCTCTTAGGTTGTACCCTCCATCCTTTTAATGGAACACGTTCATTATTTTTAGGGGAAGTTGGTTGTGTTTTGCCTTATACAGTATTTGTGCTGTTTTAAATTGAACCAAATCTGGAAATGTCAATAGTCTGGTCTTTATTAATATTTCATTAGTATGATCTTTTTATCCTACTTGATTTATTAATCTGTTTGCCTGTTTTTGCATGAAATTAATTATTTGTAAGTCGCTTTTGTACTTCCATGATTACCCCTAGAAATTTAAATTCATCAACCCTTTCAATGATAATCCTACCAATAGTTCATCTTTCAATAAAGTTCGGTGATTGTCTCAGTTGATATTACCTTAAATAATCATTTATCCTGTTTGATCATTAGCCATAGAAATATAGTAATACTTTGTTGTTGTTTTTTTTGTATAAACTATATTTTTGTCTCTCTGTTAAGTTATTAAGTGTTGTGTCCCTGGCTTTACCCAAAGTACCTAGTTTCATCATCAATCGAATATTAAAGGTTCAATAATACTGATGTATTGATACGAATATTTTTATGGAATATTACATTTTATTTGAATACCTTTATATTCTATTGACAATTTATTATAAGTAACCACATACAAACCATTACATAATGGCGAGCCAGCCAGGAGACCATGGTCTTGAGTCGAAAAAAGGTAGGATGCCTTCTCCGGGTCAGGGATGAGGTCCTGGCTCAAGTTGAGGAATTTAAGAATCTTGGGGTCTTGTTCACGATTGAGGGAAAGATGGAGTGTGAGATCAACAGGCGAATTGGTGCTGTGTCTGCAGTGATGCGGGCGTTGTACCGGTCTGTCGTGGTGAAGAGAGAGCTAAGCCAGAAGTTGAAGCTCTTGATCTACATTCCTACCCTCACCTATAGTCAAGAGCTTTGGGGAGTGACCGAAAGAATGAGATTGCAGCTTCTGGGATCTCCCTTAGATATAAGGTGAGAAGCTCTGACATCCGGGAGGATTTTGGAGTAGATCTACTGCTCCTCCACATTGAAAGGAACCAGTTGAGGTGGCTCGGGCATCTGGTCAGGAGGCCTCCTGGACGCCTCCCTGGTGAGGTTTTCCAAGCACGTCCAACTGGAAGGGGACCCAAAGGAAGACCCAGGACACGCTGGAGGGACTACGTCTATCTGCTGGTCAGGGAACACCTTGGGATTCCCCTGGAAGAGCTGGCCCAAGTGGCTGAGGAGAGGAGAGTCTGGGTCTCTCTGCTTAGGCAGCTGCCCCCCGTCATCCGACCCCGAATAAGTGGTCGATAATGGATGGATGGAACTACTGCCTCCAAGTTGATGAACTTGGTAAAAAGTGATGTTTTAACCATTTCATCAGGTACCTTCATGTGGGTCTGGAGGAAGTCCTTGATCCTCCGTCCTCCATTCTGCTCCAGTAATCCTTTGAACACTGGGTTGTCCCTCATGCTGTGGGCCTGAAGGTCTAAAACAGCCTCCCTCAGGGTCTTATTGTCATTCCCTCTGACAGAGAAGACACAGACTCCCGGAGAGAAGCAAAGCCAACCGCTCCAACTGCCCTGGGCTGAATTCCAAAACGATCAAAGATTCTGGAATTACTTGTGCAAAAGTTCTAGCAGGTCGAGATGTCCCTTAAGTCCCAAAAGCTTTTTTATCTATAGAGTCCAGTATTTCAATCATATCTTTACTGGGAGATGAGGTCGCCTCAGGTGAGTGCTGTGATTTGCTCCTCTGGGTCACGGGTGTCTCTCTGTCGGCTGCTGATTTCTTCGGCCCCATGACAAACTTACAAAATCTCAATCGTTGTAATGTTGGAGGTTCTTTAGATTTCTTCTTTACTGAGTGTTGGAGTGAGTGTTGGTTATTTTAACTGGATTAGTAGCATTGTCAGTAAATAAATGTAGTTGCATCTTAATTGTTTACAGATGTTTGTGAATGAGCTGCCATCTGCTTCAAACGTTGCCATGAGTTTGCCTTGATCGCACGTTGGCGCACGCTCTGGTGCATCCCTAATTCTGCCGAAACCCAAATTCAGATTATCAGAACCATCCTCCTAGCATTTGTCATTTGTTAGGGGCAGCAGTAGCTCAGGTGGTAGAGCGGGTTGCCTCATGATCGGAGGGGTCATGGGTTTGATTCCAGCCTCCAGCTCCCGCCAGAGGTATCCTGCTGTTGTGTCCTTGGGCAAGACACTTCACCCAACTTGCCTGTGTTAGTGGTGGTCAGAGGGACCGACGGCGCCAAATGGCAGCCTCGCTTCTGTCAGACCTCCCCAGGGTGGCTGTGGCTGCAAGTAGCTTACCATCACTAGCGGTGTGTGAATGTGAGAGTGTGTGTGAAAGCGTCTTTGGGTGTCTTGAAAAGCGCTATATAAGTTCAATGCATTATTACTATTATTTGTCCTTTTTTTTTTTATAAGTCTAATATCTGAAGATACTGTCGCCTCATAACACGTAACAGAAACGTTTAACTTGTCTCCAAACAGTGGAGGTGTGGACTGTTGAGCTTCCTAAAAATCCATGGTACAATAATCGTGTTACTTTCCACGAAGAGTGTGAAGAAAAAGTTTCTCAGGATGTTTTACACATCATCTCACGTCTCATTAGATGTTACCACGTCTTCCTGTCTGAATCTAAACCTGCTTTTGTGTGTGCGTGCCTGCGTGCGTGTGTGTCTGTGTGTGTGTGATTTTATAGGGTTATTAAACCCATGTCTGGCAGATGGTGCCGAGTTTACTTGGAGTAAACCAATCGGCTCTCCGTGGAAAGTTCCATTCGTTTTAAAGAGGGAGTAAATCTAGTCCCACTGATGGTAAAATCACGTTAATTTATTTTTAATTGTTCCCTGGAAAGAGTGCACAGCTGCTTGTTTTTACTTCACTCCATCCACATGGTGCAGGCTTTAAAATCAGGACCATAGTGAAGAATAAAGTTCTGAAATGCATGAGCTAACCTGCCAATCTTACTGGTGATTTTCATTCTGAGTCTTGTCTCCTGTCTGTCTCCTAGCTGTGAGCCGAGGGATCGACAGGACCAACAGACATGGGGAAGCAGAACAGCAAGCTGCGTCCTGAAGTGATGCAGGACCTGCTGGAGAGCACTGACTTCACTGAACACGAGATCCAGGAGTGGTACAAGGGCTTCCTAAGAGACTGCCCCAGCGGAAACCTCTCCATGGAGGAGTTTAAGAAGATCTACGGCAACTTCTTCCCGTATGGAGATGCTTCAAAGTTTGCTGAACATGTCTTTCGCACTTTTGATGCTAATGGCGATGGGACGATAGATTTTCGGGAGTTTATCATCGCTTTAAGTGTGACATCACGTGGCAAGCTGGAGCAGAAGCTGAAATGGGCGTTCAGTATGTACGACTTGGATGGGAACGGATACATCAGTAAAGCTGAGATGCTGGAGATTGTACAGGTGAGTGTCTTCATCATAAAGCACAACACATTATACAAGCTAACTTCACAGACTTTAAAACCATGTTTCTATGGTGTGGTCTTTGTAGGTGTTCCATCTAACATGGACACACTCGCTCACACACAGTAACTCTATCATTATCCAGGGCAGTGGTAGTCAAACACCACTAACCAACGGTGCTTCCATTGTATCCGTAGCAGTCTTTATGTGTGCTGGAAAGCAGTGCTGGTATTTTAAGAGCAACAGGATATACAGCTCTGCCTCAGGGCCAAAGGAAGTCCTGAAAGACTCGGAGCTGGATGTGGCTCCTCCTAACACGGGACTTCCAGGAGATAAGTCACTCAGGACCTCGTTTAGAAACAATGCTCAGCGTTACAGACACATTTAGAAAGTTTAAAGGAGTTTCTGACTGTGGAAAGGAAAAATGTTTGGAAAACACTCAAAGATTCATTCTCAAGCAGACTTTATGTTTTGCTTTACAAACATTAAAGAAACAAGCAGACCAAAAAATCAGCTAGTTTCTTCTACTTATTATGTCTTGTAACTTCCTCTCCTACTGAGCAGACTTTCTCTCATACATTGTGATCATGTTGGACTGAAGACTAATCACCACATAGACCTTCAAAGAGAATATGTAAACGTGCCTACTAACATCGTTCTGAGTCCAGACCTTAACCCCATCTTTGGGATGTGCTGGAGATGGCTCTGCAGCGGTCAGACTCTACCATCATCAATGCAAGATCCTGGTGAGACATTAATGCAACACTGGATGGAGATAAATCTGGTGATGTTGCAGAAGCTTATCAAAACAACGCTACAGCATATGTGTGTCGTAATCAAAGCTAAAGGAGGTCCAACGAAATATTGAAGTGTGTGTCCTTGTTTTGGGTGTAGTGTATGTTGTACTTCCTAAAGAAGCAATGTTGTTTGTCAGATAAATTTAGCTAATGACAGAAAGGAATAAACTTTCCTTCTTATTTTAATGCATTGCTGATGTATTGAATCAGGACTTGATGGAGGCAGATACTCAAATCAAATAGTAGGATGTCTCCCCTGACTAGGTGTGGGTAATCCACCAGTTTATGGAGGAGAGCCATGAGCTCAGATCAGGAGGTACTGATAATTGACATCCCAAAACTTCTTGTCTTTTTTTTTTTGTCGACAGTCAATAAGGTTTCTCCTTCCGCCTTATCTCTGCCTTTTCAAACTCCAACCCGACCCACCATCCTAGATAGTTTTGCTTCTGTTTTTTTGCCTGAACTAACCAAACTAGTTAACTTTGAAAACCTCTGCATGCCCCCTCCACATCTTACCCTCTTCCAGGGTTTCCCCCAGTGCTTAACAAGCCTGATAGGGCGCCAGGTCAAGCGTTCCCAGTCGATCGGTCCCAACATGCTCTATATAATTAATGCTTCTCTGGTCTCTGGTCAGGTCCCTGCCTACTTTAAGAGTGCTGTAATCCACCCGCTTATTAAAAAACTCAGTCTTGACCCCTCTCTCCATAACAGCTTGAGACCCATCTCTAAACTTCCGTTCATCTCCAAGATCTTGGAAAAGGTTGTGGCTAAACATCTCTCAGCTGCTCTTGATGAACATAACATCTATGATAGCTTCCAGTCAGGTTTTCGTAGCCTCATTCTACTGAAACAGCTCTTCTTAGGGTCTCTGATGACCTTCTGGCCAACAGTGATGCAGGGGACAGTTCTGTTCTGGTCCTGCTGGACCTGACTGCAGCCTTTGACACTGTTGACCATCACCTGCTACTGGAGAGGCTCAGATACTGGGTAGGCCTATCAGGATCTTCTCTAGAGTGGTTCTCCTCTTATCTGTCTGAGCATTCCTTTTCTGTGGCCGTCTCCAAGTTTAGGTCGTCCACCAACTCCCGTCACCCATGGTGTCCCACAAGGTTCTGTACTGGGACCTCTTCTCTTCCTCCTCTATCTGCTCCCTTTTCAGCACCTCCTGAGCTCCTTCATAGGAATCTCCTACCATCTTTATGCAGATGACATCCAACTGTACATCTCCTTTAAGCCCCATGAGATGTCTAAGCTGCAGCTGTTACACACCTGCTTAGACTCTATCAAAACCTGGATGGTGGGAGCTTTCAGCTGAATGAAGATAAGACTGAGATCCTCATCTGTGCCCCAGACAAGCTGGTTCCCAAAGTTAGAGACTCTCAGCTTGCTTCTCACACCAAACCTTCTGTCAGGAATCTTGGTGTGACCTTTGACCCAGCTCTCACCCTAGATTCTCATGTCAGTTCTCTTGTTCGCTCTTCCTTCTTCCATCTCAGGAACATTGCTAAGTTGAGTCCCATTCTGTCTCGCTCTGAACTTGAGACAGTTCTCCACACCTTCATCTCCTCACACTTAGACTACTGTAACTCTCTTTTCACGTGTCTGAGCAGAACCTCCCTGAACCGTCTGCAGGTGGTTCAGAATGCCTGTGCTCGGCTTCTGACCAAGTCCTCCAGACACACCCACATCACCCCGCTTCTCCTCCAGATTCATTGGCTGCCAGTCAACTTCAGGGTTCATTTCAAGATCCTGGTTCTGGTCTATAGGGCCTTACAGGGACAAGTACCATATTACATTGGTGATCTTCTTAGTCCCTACACCCCCAGCAGGTCCCTGAGGTCCAGTGACCAAAGCCTACTGGTTGTGCAGCACCAGGCTAAAGGTCAAAGGTGACAGATCATTTGCTGCTGTGGCCCACAGACTCTGGACCTCTCTCCCCCTGAGCCTGAGATCAGTGGACTCAGTGGTCTCCTTTAAAAAACAGCTGAAGACTCACTTGTTCAGGCTTTGGTGGGACCTTCATCACCACCCTCTCCTTGTTCTGCTCTTTCTTATTCACTTTCCCTTTCCTCACATTTCTTAATCTTTCCTTTTCCCAACTTGATGATATTTTTAAATGGTTTTTAATTTATTTTTTTTGTTTTTGTTTTTGTGAAGCACCTCGTAAATTTTATCTTGAGAGGCGCTTTATAAAAGATTGTTTTCTTTTTCTTCTTCTTCAAAAGATCTGCAAAAGCCTGATTATGCCTAACATCTGGGGGTGCTAAAATTGCTTTGTGGGTGGTTTTAATCTTTATAAATAAGCAGTCGGACTGATGGTCCCTCAATGTAAGCTGGTGGACTACAGAAGCAAAGCTTTTAGACCTGAACAAGTCAGCTCAGCCTGTCTGGATATTTCTGGAGGTATCTGCAGCCAGGGACTGCCATGTTGTGCCTCACACATGCTTCCCCGTTTTAGCCTCGAGGCTGCCGTGACTCAGACCTGAACCTGCCACTTCCTCCTGTATCCTGGTGACATAAACCCTCTGCCATTATAATATGAAACTCTTCAGTAGCAAAAGAACAGAAAGCAATAACTCAGATGCTCATGCCTGGCTGTTTGCAGAAGTCATCTATAAAAGATGAGGAGAAGGTGTAGAAGTGCAGGAGTTAGGCTGATGCTAATTATGTAACCAAGAACGTTTCCCTCCTTCCTGTGGTTGTACTCAAATGCACAAGTTTGTACTAACTAGACAGAAAGTGTCATTCCTTTCTGCTAATGTGGAGCTTCAGAAAGAGCCTCTAGCAGACATAGTTCCTCACAATCAAACTGTATTAATCTATCCTTGTGTCTTCTCGTCCCCTCGCTGCGTTTAGCTAGCTGGCTCTTCTGACTCAAAGCCTCTCGCCTCTGCAAGACAAAAGCCGGCTTAAGAGAAAAGTTTCCTGACTCCAGAAAGTAACTGAAGGCATGAAAATAGAGCCAGAGTCTGCACCCAAATGTGACAGCAATACCAGGTGGTGAAGCAGGTTAGCATGGCCATCCTCTGACCTCCTCACCACAAACTGTTACTTATCCTAATCTCATCAGCTTTTATTCGGTGTAGCGCCTCTAGAACTGTTTTTGAATCGTGTGATGGTTGTGTAAAGTAGAAAGAGTTTGCTTCTTTTCCTTCACCTCTTCGGGTCACGGGGGAAGCAGCCCAGCAGACAGGTCCAAACCGGCTTTTTTCCCCCAACATCCTCCACCAGCGGTGGAGTCTGAGGAAGTTATGGTCGGGTTCTGGAGGCGCTGTGACAACAAAAGACATTTGGACCTAGAAAACAGCGACGGGTGTTCAGCGCTCTCTCGTTTCCAGTTCCGTTATCGGGGGTCCTCTACCGTCGTGGCACAGAAAGATCCAGTGTATTGTTTTACATACATTTAATGGAAGCAAAGAAAAAAAGGCCTGGATCATTTAAACGCCTTGTGACAACAGCAGCCCTGGTCTCAGACGTGTCCTGGCCTCCCTAAACTCCATCTAACAAAGAGATGTCAGCACACAACTCATAATCAACTGTTTCATCACAAGTCCATGTTTTGCTGATATTGTTCCACCCTGGTATTGAGTTGTAAGGGCATCATCTCAGATCTGAGGGTCTTATTTTGAATGTGGTCCTTTAGTTGGTGTGGAGGATGCTGCAGCCTCTTTCATTCCTCCTGCCGTTGCCTTCATGGTCTCTGTTGGTACCTGCTGGTGATGCTCATAGTTATCCTGGCTGTGGGAGTAATTGAATGAGACAGATTACATCTGATGTCTCACACACACACACACACACACACACACACACACACACACACAACGTTGAAACCTGGGTTCAACAGTAGATCTTTAATGGTTGGCTGGGTTTCTTCTGAAACACAGTTGGCCACAGAAACGAGACAGAGAGCATCTTCCAGGTACTTGATGAAGCTGAACAGGTCGCTGACGTTCTCGTGGGAGGCATGTTTGTCTTGCGTCAAACTCGGCTGATGCTGTTGATGAAAATACTGAGCGGATGACCTTCCTTCCCTTTGCTCTTCACCCTCCTGAAAGCCGCTATTCTCTGAACAACCTGGATTAAAGGTATAAACCAAAATCTTAATGTCATCCTTAAGAGGCTACGTATTAATCCAGAGGTGAACGTTTTTCTGTTGATTCAGACTCAGACGGTCTCACAGAAAACATTTCAGCTTTTGCTTTTCTTCCTGCTAAAAAAAGCCTTAAAGAAGGTTTTAAATATTCTGTTCAGCATTCAGGTTCAGCTGCTTTATCTGGAAAAAGTTAATCCAGATTATAAAATTACACATCACAATTATAGATCGAACTTTACTCTTATTGTTAACGAGAAGTCAACCAATATTGGTTTTTCTACTGCCGATACCAGTGCTGGTATGTAGGAGACATGGTATGTACTGCTGATTTTTAATGGCCCACATCCAGATGCTTTCCACCTGATTTTCATGCTTAAATCTCACTAAGAACGTCAGTTGATGCTCAAAATTTCTGAAGCTGAATCAGCCGAACTGGTAAAGCTTAACTTTAGACTGCTCAGTGTTAAAGTCAGACACTTAAAGTTCATTTAGGGTATTTATTATGCAGATGTTATTAATGAATGTAAAAATACATTTAAATTAAATCGTGCAACATCAGCAGACTGCCCAAAGATGTGCCTGGCTCTTAAATCAGCTTCACTGAGGACAAATATCGGCCAACGCTGATATATAAAGCCATAAATATCAGTCTACCCCTATTGTCACCACATCTGCAGTGCTCTACCGTAGGAATCCATGCTTGTTATTCGTTCTCTGGGGAAACAGAGCTCCAGTGCACCTGTCTCAGCTCGGAGAATTTAGCTGGAGGAGAAAGGAGCTTCAGATGGCAGGATCTGGACTCTTACTTGCTGATGTGTGGTCATCTCTTCTCTGATTGGCTAACAGCAACACAACTCTAGCACTGACTCCATCTGCTCTGCAACGTTGATGTTTTATCTTCGCCAATAACACAAACCTGGAGTTCTGCTGTGTGGTGGAGTTGCTAATGCTAGCAGTTAGCTTGTACTAGCTGGTTCTCTGCTGTTTCCTGGACGCTAAACCAACAACCGGTGTTGTGCCCGAACGCATTCGTTGGAAGATCGTTCGTGAACTCTTTAGTTTTTGTTGTGAGCTGAACTTGTTCGTATTTTGCCTGGCGAAAGTTAAAGCGAGTGTGTTCGTTCTGGCGTGTGCGACCGGGTTTATGAACACGATCTTTTGATGCTGGAGCTCCAGATCTCCACGGAGCTAAAGCCTAGCTACAACATCCTGTTAACCATAGAGTTTATAAAAAGTAGAACCCACAAATGCGGCCGCCATAGGCAGTAGCGGTCAGTGCGGCATCTCTTCGGCGTTTCTTCTCTTTATTGTGGGCAGTATAAGGTACACCTGTGCACTACTCATGATGTCGGATCAGCATCTTGATGTGGCACACCTGTGAGGTGGGATGGATTATCTCAGCGAAGCAGAAGTGCTCACTATCACACATTTAGACTGATTTTTGAACAATGTTTGAGAGGAATGGTAATATTGTGTATCTGGACTGAATTTTAGATCTTTAAGTCCATCTCATGAAAAATCGGAGCAGAAACAAAGGTGTTGCGTTTATATTTTTGTTGAGTGTATATATATATATATATATATATATATATATATATATATGAAAAAAACTGTGAACTTAGTTCAGTTAGTTTTAAATGATGAACTAAAAAAATGAACTAGTTCATTTTAAAGTGTATGAACTGAACTTTGAACTTTCCCAACACCAAACCAACAACAGCTTCCCCGTCGTGAGTCCAGATGGGTGAGTCCATGAATGTTAGGGACAGTGTGACGTAGATCTGTCAGGCTTTTCTAATCCTACAGTTTCACTGTCTGTTTTCTATTAGAAGCTAATGCAGGAGATAGGTGTAGGAGACTATTTTCATGTTCAGCCTGCATGAAACTCTCAGAGTGACCCGTTAGAATCATTAAAAAGTGTTTTTTCACAGAAGGGGCCGTTAAGTAAAAATGAGAGCACTGGTTTGGGATGGACAGCTGTTTTATTTATCAGGAGGTGTGAAGGGAGAACATGTAGAGAGGATCCTCCAGTTGGTTCTGCGTCATGCAGATCCTCTTTGTCAAACACATCCAGTTTTGATTCAAACTAAAAAGACAACAGGGCCTGAGGAATATAATCCCAGGTATTGGTTGTGTTAGTGTCGGAGGTCCAACCCAGGAATCCGCAGCTTATAGAGCGTTTTCTATTTCACCTCAACGTTTACAAGATGTCCAGGTCCTGTAACAGCTAAACACTCCCAAATCATCACTCCTCCCACATGGCATCCCTTTCTGAGTTTCACCAAGGCCCAGATCAGGTTTACTGTCCTGATTGTAGAGGCTCAGCTGAGGAGTGCTACTTCGTGCTTGGATCAAATAAATACAGAAACCAGGAGCTCTTTTAGACAAATGCAGAGGTTTTGGACTGTTTTCATGTCGTCTCTGCTGTTTACCTGTACACCCAACCTGGTTTACTGCAGCCAAAGCTCTGATGATCATCCACATCCCACATGCAGCCCACGGGCTTCATGCAGACCAGAAACAGCCAAGACAAGTTATTGCTCTTGAATCTGTGATACCATCCCTTGCTACTTTCCGTGGTTCTGATGTCCAACCATGCAAGTGTTTCCTCCCTTACATGCAAACGTGATGTAAGTCATTAGCACCTGTCGTTTCTCGTCCATCACCAGGTAACATGCTTGGTGCTTTGTTCTATGATCCGGTTGGTGCAGACCAGCCGTGTTCTGGGATTCAGACAAGCCGTCTGAATGAAGGTGCCTCTTTGCTGTCCTGCTAGGCAGCTCTTGTGCTTACAGTCACCGCTCAGCACATTAGCACGGGCTAACGCTAGCGGTTTGGGCTGTTTGGTGTTGGGGAGATGCTTGGTTATGTAGAAACGTCCACGTTTTCCTTTAAAGGTCCATGTCAGCAAATAGCCAACATGCTTAAAAAGCAGAAAACATTTAAAAAAAAAAGCTCTGCAAACTAAAAAGAGAATAAAATAATAGCATGATTAAAAACCAACAATCCCTGAAAGCAACGGAATAAAAATATGCCTTAAGCCTAGACCATAACAGGTCAGCTGAGCCATAGGCCTGTAACTCAGGTCTCTAATGTACTAAACATCTGTTGCATCTGGTGCGTGTCCTCAGCTCCACTTGGGCCTGAGCCGTCCTTTTTAAAGCCCTCGCTGCTCTGTAGTCACCATCAGTCCTCCTCATGTCCGCTGCCATCCCCTCCACGTTAGGTGGACCAGGCTGTGATTGGCTGTTTACTGCCTAGCAGCGGGGAGCAGAGGAGACACAACACGGATAAATAGTCTGCCAGAGATGGTGGATCTGCATATGTCTGCTTCCAACTCTACCTAAGCTGTGAACGTGAACCTGAAGAACGGTGAAGCAGCAACACGCTGACAAGTTGGAAGGAAGTCTAATCAAGGGTGTAAAGCTTCCAACCATTACAACAAGTTTATTTTTACATGTGGAGGTAAAGCTCCATCACTCGTCCACCCACCTGCAGCCTTTGTGTAGAAATGATGCAGGAGCTGGAGCTCTGCTAATGCAGGCTCAGGGTCAATGACCCCAGATGCACATACCTGAAGAACGTCTGTTAGAGCATCGTAGATGGAGCTGTCTGGTTCTACATACATGTTGGGAGTCAGTCCTAGCAGCAGCTAGCACCTAAACACCTTCCTGTTTCTCTAACGTCCCTGTTTACTCTCATGCAGGCAATATACAAGATGGTGTCCTCTGTGATGAAGATGCCTGAGGACGAGTCAACACCTGAGAAGAGGACAGAGAAGATCTTCAGACAGATGGACACCAACAGAGACGGTACGTCCATCCCAGTAGCAGGCTGGTTTTTCATCAGGCTTCACTAAACCTGAGAAGGAAAAATCTGTTCTGGCCCGTTTTTATTAGAGCGTTGAAGAGAAGTGAATTCACCAGGAGGGTTGCAGTCTCACAACGCTTAGCAAGCGAGAGGCTGCAGAACGCTGAAGCTGATTAAAATTAGCAGCCTCTCCACTTTTAGGGAACTCTTCAAACCACATCCTGGAATCACAGCAGCCTTTCTCACAGGAAGCTCTTCTACCAGCAGGAATAGAAACGTTTTACTCTCAGCCGCGCAAACGCTGCCTGTGATGCTGAAGGATGAGAGAACACGCGTTTCTGTTACAGGAGATTTCCCTCAGCATCAGGACATATGGGCTTCAGAGGTGTTGATGGTGAAATCATTTAAAACACTGCCACCTGCTGGTGAGACTCCAACTTGACTAGATGCACAGGTCCAGGTCTGAAAGGGAAATTCCCTCAAATTCATCATCTCTACCTATTGGATGTGACCTTCACTTGTAACTTCTACAGCAGAAGCACATCCGGTAGATCACACAAATACTTCCTTTTCTTTAGATGTGTTTCCTGTTGCAATGCACTGTAAAAAAAATTAGCACCATTTCCTGTTTCGCTGTCAAAAGTCTTCTGCTCCTGTCCTTTGACTCGTCCTCCTCGGTGTCCAGATGTGTCCTCATATGCAGATTCAAACAGCTTCATGTGACTCTTCTGGTTTCATGCTTGTTCTTTTTTTTTTTTTTTGTGCTGCAGGTAAACTATCTCTGGAGGAGTTCATCAAAGGAGCGAAGAGCGACCCCTCCATCGTGCGCCTGTTGCAGTGCGATCCCAGCAGCGCTGGCCAGTTCTGAACCTGAGGCATCGCTACGATCTGTAAGCCTCCCAGTCTGTAACTCTTTTGGTTCAGGTGGACGTAAGGTGGTGGCTCGGAGGCAGAAAGGCTTCCTGCTGGAGTTACAGAGAGCTAGTCTGTCTGCGGCTAGCATTAGCGTGACCGTCGTTTAGGGTATATGTCAGGTGTTGGACCAGCTCTTCTCAGAACAAACCGTCTCTCACATAGAAAGCAGGTCAGAGACAGCAGAGGTGTTGGTGTGCAAGGTTAGACACACCATCTTGGTCAGGGAGCTTCTGCTCGCCTTCAGCTTTCATCATTTATCATTATCCATCCTCTCAGTTTCCTCTGAGCTCTGCTGCTCAGAGTTCTGTTCAAGTGCAGGAGCGGGTTTGCTGACTCCATCATGGCTGCCGCCTTTGATACTGAGATGATAGGTGGTACTGGTGGGCCAGCTGGCTGCTCCTGCAGACCATCTGCTACACTGGACCACATCTTCAGCTGGATCACCTTGAGGAACGTTAGGATCTAGATCTGGGGTCGCCAACCTGGTGCCCGCAGGTCTTTTCCCCAAATAGCACAAGATGTCTGCCATCTTTTTCAATCATAAATGCATGAATGTAGATTTAAAAATGACATTTTTATTTAATATTCATTTAAATGTGTTTATTAGACATGAAGTTAGTTTAAGAGTTGGTTTAATTGGTTCAAAGGTCAAGGTTGTAACAACCTGGTAGCTCTCCTGTGGCTCAGTACCCCTGAAGGAGCTCGGTTGGTGACCCTGCCCTGATCGAGATGTTTACAGATGTTTCTGGTTCCCAGCAGGATTCACTCGTTCACACCAGATCAGCATAATGGCTCTAAAGATAATCTCATCAGATATTCCTGCTGTGTGTGGTGTGTTAAGATTGCTCTAGTTGGCCCTTGGATCATAAATCGAAGATATTCAACATGTTGCATTGTCTTGCTCTGATTTTCAGGATAAACAAGCGTGCTGCTGGTTGAGTGTAATGTGTAGCCAGCTGCTCACTCTTTTGTTTTATTTGTTTTGTTTATTTACTCCAAAGTCACGTTTGGTTCATGTGTCCTTCTTGCTGAGCGGCTGCACACCTGTAAGGTTGTTTAACTCCTTGTGAATCCACCCTCAGAGGATGAAACACCTGTGTCGCATTTCTGATGCTTGTTTTTTATCTTCCCAGTGCTACTTTGATGACTTCACATACCTGTAATTCTCCTCTGTGGAGCAGACTGATGATGAAGAATGACATGACGAAGAAGCAAGGCCTTCATTAAGTACCGAGGACAATAAAGATGGACACCAGCGGCTACTTCTCCTCCCCCATCACCTCTCATCGAAATAACAAACCCTTCTAAATCCCATCCCAGTGATCTCCGATCCGATGATCGTTCCCCTCTGAGTTCCTCGGTTCTCCTCTGGGCCTGTTAGAACGTACAGAAGGTCTGCTGTAGGTTGTAGATATGCCGTATCAACTGGAGTCTGTATCAGTGTCTTTGCTCGGCTCTCTCTGAGGTTCTGGTCGGACCCACACAGAGCTTCCATCACTTGTGTGTGTGTGTGTGTGTGTGTGTGTGTGTGTGTGTGTGTGTGTGTGTGTGTGTGTGTGTGTGTGTGTGTGTGTGTGCGTGTGTGCGTGCGTGCGTGCGTGCGTGCGTGCGTGCGTGCGTGCGTGCGTGCGTGCGTGCGTGCGTGCGTGTGTGTGTGTGTGTGTGTGTGGAACAACAGGAGGTGCTGTAGGTGGGATCACTTCACCTGCATGGGACCTGTGAGGTTTGTTCTCCACTTTCTTCTCTTTTTTTAACAGATTTTTTTTCTTTTACTTTGAAACTTGAGGACGTCGTTTCATCGGCCGTGCTGCAACAACAAGGACAGGTCATGGTATGCTACTATGCATATGCTCCCAACTTTAGATTTGGTGACGTCTCACAGATGAAGTGAAGGACGATGAAGAGCATCCTTCTCTCCGTCGTATGTTCTTGTTTTGATTTAATTCCTTTTCAGTAACAAGCAGCAGGTCTTACTGTGCTCTAGCTTCTATAATAGAAACGCAGTCTTTCTAGGTATTTCAGTACTGTGTAGGTATTTTAAAGTGCACCTAAACTTGTTGAGCAAACCCACGTTCAGAACAACATTGATGTGACTTAATAATTGTTATTATATTGGAAAATGTTTGTTTATTTGAGCTTTGGCCGGCTATTGGAGCATGCAAACCAGACACACCGTACCACAGTCACTATTAATGGTTTTGAAATGCTGCATGTGTAATTGGTCGTCGGGTACCTGGGCGTGTAGATTAACCAAACACATATGCATGTGTGTGTTTTTGATGTGTGTTAATAGATATTAGCTGAGTGCATCCAGAGGAGTCTCCTCCTATCACTCACATTCAGCAGAGAAAACAGGAATATTATCCAGGAATTCCTCACTGATGGAAGCGATGAGCATCAGTTTCCAACAAGAAAAAGCATTGAATGTTCGGATGCTGCCGCGGTTTTTGTTTTTCAACAGAAAAGGCACAGAAAGTCAGAACTGCTGCAGTAACACTGGGATGCTTTTATTGTGTTTTCTACGGGTGGACCTTTCCTATCCAGACATGTCACATGATGTAAAATTTCTGCTGAACACAAAATTAGCAAATTGTGATCAAGTGCCAAATAAAAGCTAAACAGTATTGTATACATTTATACTGTACAATTGTTATATGTTGAACAAATGTTTGTAATTGTTGACTTTTTGTAGTTTTGTATGGTAACTAGTGACGACCGTTTTTCAGCACAAGAACTTGTTTTTGGGTCGGTTTAAAAGGCAGCAATTAAATCTACATTATATGGTGTGAACGTCTTGTGTGGGCCTGAGCTTCCTGGTGACCGCCGAAGCTGTGGTGAGGGAAAACGGATCACAGACGGCTGTCTCTGCACCGTTTGGCGCTGGAATATCCCGTTTTTAATTTGAGTGGGGATTTTACGATGCATTAAATATTAAGATAAAAATAAATGATTCTAATCTAATGCAATGATATAATCTAACATTAAAATGTCAACATTTAGAAACTATGGGTATATTAAAGGTGCAATGTGTAAATATTCTACAGTAAATAAACTCAATCACGTTGGAGGGAAGGTTTTACTGAAACAGATTTCCTCAGCCGGCTGGGGAGTTGTCGGTTCTCCCCTTTCAGTAACAAAAGACGTAGGCTTTGGTTACAGTCTGTGGCCCTGCAGTGTTGCAGAATCTGCCTCGTAATTCAACACCGGCCGCCAAAATGCAGCAGTATGGTGTAAACAACTACAGACAGTAAACAGGAGAGACCCAGAAGCCACGCCATTTTTTTCTCCACACTCATCTCGAGTAAAGAAGGCTAGAGGCTAACGCTGACCTAAAAATGCTAACGGTGAATTAAAAGCTACAGTGAATCATTCCTGTGCGGAGCCGTAACTGAAACCTAAGGTAGGGCGAGGGCTGCAGTACCCACATTTGACCACAAGATGTAATACTAGAGTCTTAGAGCCCCCAAGGCACTTTACAACACAGTCATTCACACGATGGTGGTGATGAGCTACATTGTAGCCACAGCTGATAGATGGGCACCACTGGTCCCTCCGACAACCAGCAGCAGGCAGGGAGGGTGAAGTGTCTTGCTCAAGGACACAACAGCTGTGACCGACTGAGCAGGGCTCTAGCCTGCTCCTGGTTACCGGGCAGACACTTGACTCGTCTGCCACAATTACCCGCGTTATTCTTACATAGTGCACCTTTAAACTAGGTAGTAGACACCTGAGAACTATCAGGCTGCTCATTTAGCAGGAACAAAATCAGTGATTCATTTTGGTTTTTAATTCTTGTTAGTTTCTGTTGCTGCCATACAACTGTCGCCCTCTTTTGGTGGTTTAGTGGAATTGCAATTACTGTAATGTATGGTTTCTGTAACAAAAGCCATTTTTAAATATAATTAAATCTAAAATCAAAAGACTTAGTTGTGATGCTGTGACTTAATCAACCTTGAGACGTCTTTAAAGAAGGCGGTTGGAGATATTTGTGAACAAATTAGCAGTTAGCAAAGCTTCTGGTTCAGAAAAGATTCAAATGTCTCCATCTTGTGGCACAACAGTGACATTACCACCGCTACAGAGAAGTCACCCCTGAGCTCTCCTCTGGTTCTCGAAACTTCATAGATCATCCCATCAGCTGACCTCAGACGGTTAAGGGGAGTGAAAACCCCATAGCCTAGACGGGTAACGGGGAGCCAGACCATAAATGACCCTAAACTCGACTCTTAACATCAACAGGTGACCAGTGCAGCAAAGCCAAGACTGGAGTAATGCGCTCCGTCTGTCAGCCGCATCCTGCAGCAACAGGAGACGAGCGAGATGAGACTGGGAACCACCACAGTACAAAGAACTACAGCAATGGAGTCTGGATGTAATAAAAGTGAATTACCCTTTAAAGTTCTTAACCCTGCTGATCCTTCAGTTGATAAAAACTAGATTTAGTCACCGCACCGACTGGCCTGTCCATGATAAGATCCCTGGGGATGGAGAGTTTGGGCAACAACCCTCCTTCCATCAGTGAGAGCGTTGGTGATGAAACGTATGACATGGACCCAAACATCACCTGGGCGGTGAAGGTTCTGGAGTAGCCTAGCCAGTCATCTTAAACCAACCGAGAACCTGTGGAGGAGGCTAAAGTCTGGGTTGCCTAGCAACAGCCTCAAATCATCACAGCTCTGGAGAAGATCTGCGTGGAGAAAGGTCTAAATAGCAGCTACCGTGTGTGTCAGACCTGGTGAAGATGGCACACTGCTCAAGAAAAGCCCACATTCAAAAGGTTCATCTAATCAGCTGCAGCGGGGTTCCTGAGCCTTCAGTTGTTCGCTCAGTCAGGCTGAGTCAAACACCAACAGACCTCCATCCTGAGGTGAGACAGGACACACGCATGGAAAACTAGATTTATTAAGAATTTACATTTGAATTAAAAACCCTGTTAGAGGGTTGAACTCTGGTCTCTGAGCTCAAAACAAAACAGGTATAAATAATAACAACCGTAATAGCAACACACACGCACCAGGCAGTTTGGTCTCCAAGGACCTGGAACGTCTGAAAATGTGCTGGTTGAAAACGTTAGCGACTGCATTAAGCTACTTTAGAGAACATTTTCCCCTTTCAGTGTCAAAAACAACTTCCACCGAGTCATCCGGTTATTTACAGCCCCTGACGGAGGAAACGGGGCGCAGAGGAGCCCCTGCTGCTTCCATCCTGGTGGTGTTGATGTGGGTTCGATCACAGTCTCAGCTGCTTTTTACTGCACTTCCTGGGAGTTTGTTAGTGATGTCACACTATTTCACCACAGCTACACAGATTGGAAGAAAGGATCCCTTTAGGCTCCGGCTGCAGGTCGTCTACCAAACATGGAGGAGGTGCTGGCTGAAGCTTTCTACAGCAAACCCTGCTGACTGTCTGGTTCTGTCCTTTAAAACTAACCGCCGTCATAAAACGTCCCCCGGCCTTGTCCAGCAGGGATCCTCTCGGACTGGACCGGACCGGGTCACGAGGTCCAGGTGAGTCAAAGTTCTGACAGAGTCACACACCAAGAGTCGGCCGAGCACTCTAAAGACAGGATGAAGGTGTCCTCGTTGGAGTAGTGCTGAACGATGTTGTCGTCCATGTTCACCAGAACCCTAAAGATGACATCACAAAAAGGAAAGGTTGGCTGACGTCTTCATTACGGAGAGAGATGCTGCTAATGTTCTTCAGACTCAGGTCAGCTAACACCTGGCTCACAGCGGTGAAGTCAATATTATTATTGTTTGTCTCTCTGAAGCTTCTCACCCTTTCTTGCTCTTTTGGTGAACTTTGGCCATCTTGTTAACAGGAACTGCATATTTGTCTGAAATCTGTCGAGTAAAGAGAACAAATGTCTGGAACGACCGAATGTTTTCTGTGGCCGAGGACATCCGTCCGACCAAACAGCTGACCGGGTGGTACTCACAGCCTCCATCAGGGCTTTGAGGGTCGGGGAGCGCAGCATCAAAGCATCAAACACTTCGTCACTCTCCTTCCTCACGTACAGCAGCACTGATGAAGCCGGGAACGGGAGGGCCAGAAGATCTCCGTCACTCATTAAACCATAACAAGATCTCAAACACAACAAGGTCACGCTACCTTTCCTTTCCTGCTCCACTTTGGTCTTCTTGGGCTGAGATGGACAGACGTCATCCTGACATGACGTCCTCTTCAGGGGACCTCCTCTGATCACACACACATCATTTTAACATGTTGCTATCCCTCACTCGACTTCTAGATTCACAACTTTTAACTGTGAAAGGTTTTGTTAGAGCAGAAGGATTCAGAAAAGGCCAGATCACCTGTCGGCGACTACCTCCTCAGTGCTGATGGCAAACACCTGCAAGAAGACAACAACAACAACAAGTTTGAATACAAAGCATGACACAGTAGTGTTCGTTTGTGGTTCCTCACCTGTCCTGCTCTCTGCAAGTTTCCAAAGTGGACATCAGGTATGAAGAGGACCGGCTGGGAGTCCAGGTCCAGCATGCTCCTGAACAGAGTGCTTTCAGCTCTCTTAATGGGAGAGGTCGACCCGGAGCTGCTGCTTCTGCCTGTTAAAGAAGAACATGAGCTCAGCATCCGTTACCAAGCAACCACTCGAGGCACGAAGCAGAGGAGGGTTGTTTGGGCTGCTTTTCTACAGACTTGAGCCTGACTTTCAGTGTTGTAAATCAAACGTTCTAATCATGAAAACCTTTTGTTCGATTTATCCTCCTGAGCTGCTTCTTCTCCTCGTCCCGGAGCTTCCGCTCAGCTCCCTTCAGACACAAACAAACCACAGTAAACAAGGTGTTTTCCATTGCAGTCGTGATGCTAGCGAGCAGCTTTCCTGTGGCCCGGTCACCTTGTCGCAGAAGACCTTGATCTGAGCGAAGGCCCTGTGGATGGGCCTGCTGCTGCAGCTGTTGTAGCTGTAGGTGTCGATCTGGATGATCAGAGGCGTCCCCTTCACCCCCTTCTGAGAGGAGAAGTCTGTGCTGAGACAGTTTACAGAGATAAAGACCTGGAGAAACACAAGAAAACAGGAGCGGGACCTCAAACCAGCAGCCGACTCCACATCATAGACTGTGGTTCTTCTCCTTGTTGGTTAAAAGGAAATGTTCTGAGATAAAAACACAGATGTTGGTTCTGATGAACGGGTGACCTGTCCAGGGTTAGCGTCTTCCTCCCCCTACAGCACGATGGCTGCAGCAGCGATTCTGAGTTCTAGCCCTCGCTGAGCAGAACATCTGGAAAGGATCATCCAGGACCGACGGTCTGCTGCAGACTTTAAACAACTCAGCTACCGGACATGGGAGCAAAACAAGATGCCAGGACATCTTAGGAGCACAAGGAACAACTTCTGGGTCGCTCCTGTTTACTGGCTTTGGTTCTTTAAACAACTCTTGAGCTTTTTAGCTGCCGGCGTCAGATTCCATACGCCAGTGCCGCAGCGAGCTCGCGGTAGGAAGGATCAGAGCTGACCCCCCAGTAGCCTTCCTTCCTACACGACTGAGAATGTTTAGTGATCATTTCACCACATTTCTTACTTATTGCTCCTTAAAGACTTCCTTCTTTCCTCCTTTCTAGCGCTGCATTCCTCTACATGCTCTACCTGCACTGAGCCGAGTTCCTAAATGTGTAGAAACGCCTTCAGACACAAACGTCGGCCTAAATGTGTTCAGACACGAGTCGCGAGAAACCTCAAACGTTTTTGTTCATGACTGCATTCAGGATCTCCTGGCTGAACGAGTTCTGGAGTTAATGTAATGAAAAACATTTTTATCACCAAAATAAAAGAACCATCTTATTTTATATTTTAAGGCAACGCAATCAGCTGCCTTCCCGTTAATAAAACATTAGTCATGTTCATACACACTCGACATCTTCCTGTAGATGTTGACCCGACTCAGGGTGGGGTGATGTCTCAGCAGGCAACACTCATCATACACACTCGTCTCATTAGGCCAAACTCGCACAATGATGATAAATCGGCTGCAAATTCAAGTAAAAACATGGCCATGAACGACACACCTCTGAAACTCCAACCACACCCAAATCACAGAACAGATCCGTGTCCATCAGATCTACATCTATCCGTGTAAACGCCACTACCTGCACTTAGCTCACACATTAGTTACGCAGAAAGCAGATTCTCATGCTCCATGCCAAACCACAAAACCAACATAAACACCTGTAGATTTTTCCTGTTAAACAGGATCGACCGCTCCAGCAACAGGTCGACGGAGACGGATAACGGTAGATCCTCCTCACCGTTCCCACTCCGCAGCATCGTGCCTGAACCTGCAGAGGTGAGGGCCAATTGCTGCAAGCCTCCTACACGGCTCCATGAGCTCCCACCCCCACAGAGCAGGGACATTTAAATGCCCCACATGTGCTGCAACGTGAGTGGGAAGCTGCTTGCTCCGTGTTTACGGGTGTGAAAGCGTTCACGCCGATTCCTAAAAGGCTAAATGTTCACGAGGGCGCTGAGAAGTGGCACTCGCTCCGACAGGCACAAACAAACAGAAAAACAGTCGAGCTGCAGGAAAGAGCCTCCTGGGATGTGCTGGTTGTTGCCTAGCAACACACCAACCAGGCCAAAACACAGATAAAAAAGAATACTTTAGGTTTGTTTTGGCCTACGGGGTCTTCTTCGGGATAAGTTTGGTTTAGAAACAAAGCTTTTGTACAGAATAAGGTCACGTTTGACATTTTAGTTTGTCAATGTGAAACATCAAAGTGCAACAAAAGAGCAGAAACTAAAGAATCTGCAACGACGTCAGATACCGGAAAAGAAATGTCTGATAAATACATGAATTCAAAGGAAATCTTAAATGTCCCAGATTGAAAAGTGGTCAAAAAGACAACGAGTTCCTTTTGTTTATCTTTGTTTACTAGTTGTTCTTTCATCTGCGACCAACGGCAGGAACCCTGAATGCTGCTTGAACCCGGGTTCTCTTTAAGACGGACGGCCTCGCTCTTTCTGGGTGTGTCCTGTTTACGTGCTGTCCTTACAGAGCTGAAACCTGAGCTGGTTTGTCCGCATGTGTCCACTGAGACATCTGGACCAGAAACAAAGCAGGACACATTCTTCTGGCCTCGGAGGACAGAGAGCTGTGAAAGGCTGGAGGCAATGATAATCCACAGGTAAACGTCAGGACAACCCTAACGCCAACCGAGAAAACAATCAAGCGCCTCAATATTCCTCTCGCTTTGTTTTTCCTCCTTTCTTACCTTGGCCTCTTCGCTCACATCCCAGGTGAAAGACACGGCGTTGTAGGCGATTTCCTCCACGTTCCCTATCGTGCTGAAGCTTTCCTTGTAGTCAGCTGAAAGACGAGTGGAAAATGGGAGGAAATACCCTCAAACACATGGCAGCAGAATTATTTAGTTATTAATCAACGCTTCAGAAACTGGTTCATGTTTGGATTTGATGGTTTTCAAGATACAAATAACGTATTGTCATTGATGGTTTCAGAGAGTGAGCCATTACAGGACTGTCATTTCAATGCAAATAAGCTGCTGATGGCCACACCCCAATTATGAGCCGAGCTGCTGCTCCGCCCACATCAACAGATGGGAGGGGTCTGTGCTATTTCTCCCTCTTGTGACACCATAAAAAGGAACGTTTTCAAACAACTGATTGTAGCATGGTTCCTGAAACTTGAACCTGACAGAAATGGATGGATGGTTTTAATATAGTGTTCTTAGAGACCCATACGGAAACACAAAAGGATGCAAAAAGTGAGATTAGCAGAATATGTCCCCTTTAAGTACGCCAGAAACGTGTTGGATGAGCTTTTGTGGATGACCTTGTAGGCAGGAACATGTTTGAAATGCTTTATCTAATGAGTGGAAACTGGTGGTGTCAGTGTGATGGTGTGGGCCTCTCTACTTCATCTGAGCGAGGATGACCATCTCTAACAGATGAACTCATCCCACCACCTTCAGCAAACCAAAACTACAGTTTTGTTTAGAGGTTTGTTTCCTTTGTTCTGAACAATATCGCCACATTATTTCTTACTAACCCACCTTAAAATAAAGTAGAACTGATCGTTTAGACCAAACAGAATTCTCATTAGATTTTAGTTTGCAGGACAGCAGCAGCTCAGGAGGTAGAGCGGTTGTCCAGTAATTGGAAGGTTGCAGGTTTGAGCCCCGCTCAGTGTGTTGCTGCCGTTGCGTCCTTGGGCAAGACACTTAACCTCCTCGCCTGCTGGTGGTGGTCGGAGGGACCGGTGGCGCCTGTGCTCAGCAGCCTCGCCTCCGTCAGTGCGCCCCAGGGCAGCTGTGGCTACACGGTAGCTCATCACCACCAGCGTGTGAATGGATGAATGACTGTGTTGTGGAGAGCCTTGGGGGGTTGTAGAACCCAAAGAAGGTGCTATATCAAATACAGGCCATTTACTAAAATGGCCTGTATTTGATATAGCGCCTTCTAGACTCCTGGAACCCCTCAAGGCGCTTTACAACACAATCAGTCATTCACTCATTCACACACACATTCACACGCTGGTGATGATGGAGGCGAGGCTGCTGAGCACAGGCACCACCGGTCCCTCCGACCACCACCAGCAAGCAAGGTTGGTTAAGTGTCTTGCCCAAGGACGCAACAACAGCGACACGCTGAGGGGAGCTTGAACCTGCAACCGTCCGATTACGGGGTGAGCATCTAACTCCTGTGCCCCTGTCGCCCCACCGTACTATTATAGCAACAAAACATGTCAACAGTGCTGTCCATGATAACAGCTAACTACGAAGTGCTGTTTAGAGTAATACAAGTCACCACACAATGTTAGCTTCCTCATGCTAACAGTAATGCTAACGTATCGCTACAGCTAGCAGTTAAAGCAGACAACTGGAGTTGACTTCTCACAGGGCACCCTCTAGAGGGAAAATGGCCTGTATCTTCCCACCAAAGGGTCCAGATGTGATACTGATGAAGAACATCCCTATAGGTTCTCAGTCCAACAGCCTTGTTCTGTATCTGCCACTCAGTCGAAACCCGACACCTGACTTTTTACCCAACAAACCCACTAGCAACTCAGGAAAAAGGCTCCTGTCACACACTCGTTTGCACTGGTCTACAGCAAGGCCACGTCAGTACCATGATGGCTGCCACATTACAGAAACCAACTGGCTCATTCCTTTGAGTTTGAAACCGCAGGTTGAGACCTGCCTCCTGCTGATCCTACAGGATATGGCTGCAGTCCAGGCCTTCACTGATTTCTCCTCCTAAAGTTTATGCAAATGCAGACTCACTGGCTGTTCCCTCCCAGCGCTCCTGTGGGAACCGAGGACTGACAGTTATTCAGAAGGAATCATGTTTCACCTCAGACTTAAGTGATTGGACTCTTCTGCAGCTTTGCCACCTGCTTGCTCTTTTACTTTAACTCAACGGGTCGAGGTGAAAGTATTTACCTAAAGAGTGCTACTCAACACCGACATGTGAAGGCCCATAGGCCATCTGCTCCGCTCTGAAACAAGTGAAGGCAAAAGAGCAGCTTACCGATGTCCAGGACTCTCTGCTTGGCAGTGTGCTGACGAGAGTGCCAGTATTTCCAATTCTTCAGCTGATCGTCTCTAGACTTGTCTTCTCCAAAAACAACCATGATCACACTCTAAACGAAGCAAAGGTGCAGTGTTACTGAGCCAGAGCATCTCAGTCCTGAGCTTGTAGATGGATCTCCTCTCTCACCTGTACAATACTGTCCCTCTGCATATCATCGTCTCCAACAGCATGCTGCTCACCACTGGAGGAGCATCCATCCAGCCCATGGGACTGTGTGGTGCCACTCATCCACACCTTGCCTCTGGGTTGACAAAGAGATGGTCTGAAGCCAGCCTTAGACAGCGTCAAAGCATAGAACTGGCCCCGGTTCAGGTAAGCCATCGGCCCTTCTCCTTGTCGCGGTCGTAGGGACATGTTGGCTTCCAGGTTGTACCTGAAACCATCTCTGTAGGTTCAGGAGGACATGTACAGACATCCTTAGGAACGTGTGATTTCTGACTTAAGAAGTACACGTGAAATGTTAGCCTGGAGCTTTTGGGTGGAGACAAAGATGTGTTGGTTGGTTAGTTGCCTTTTTCAAGCACCAACAAACAGGATATCACAATATGAAGTTAAGATTATGTCTAATCCTAACTCACCAAAACAAAAATAATCATTTCTGACTATTAGATCAGCTTCGTTATGCCGTCATCAGTGGGAAGTTTACGCTCCCTCTGGCGCTAGGCCAACGTAGTCTTAAACCAAACATTGTCTGACCACATGCCTTTCTTTGCTGTTTGGATCATTTCACACTTTAATGTATAAAGTGAACGTACCCAGGTTGGCTGTAGCTGGACGTAGCGACTCCTGAGGAAGGACTTCTCTGATAAATCTGTGAAAAACAGCAACAGATGCACAGATCAGACCTTAGAGGAAACCTCTAAAACAAACAAAACAGCAAAATAAATCACAAATCAGACCTCTCCCTCCACACTGTCCTCATACGTGCTGTACGGAGTGCTGCTCTGATCATCTTTCTGGTCTCCAGCGAGGGGCATGTCATAGCGGCTCTGCTCATAAACCATCCTTATGTGATCTTTGGATTCCTTTTGACAGGAATTACCGGAACAAGAAACTGCCGTGGATGTCTCCGACTTGACCAGAGCAAGTGGTAGACTACCCTCACCTTCCCCTTCTTCTCCTTGGTCATCTCCTGCGACGCTCAACGCTCTGTGCTTGGAGCTATGAAGTTCTGCAGCAGTACTGCTGTTCATGGAAAGGTTAACTGGCATGGATAAAAGAGTCTGACAGCTGTGATACAGCAGGTCCTGGCTTCTGCAGTTGTTAGGCATAGAGGTGGGGGGGTCCACGACTGCAACACCGCTGCCAGTGCGTTTCCTCTCTCTGGGAACCTGTTGGGGTTGCAGCCAATAGGAAACATAAGACCAGAAAAAACCTCTGAGCCAATTATGAGGACACTTCCTTTTCAAAGTGAGTCTTATGCACCTTGTAGTAGTCGTACAGCAGTCCCAACGCAGCTGCGCTGTCCTCATCTCCGTTAATGCTCATCATGGCCTTGGTGGCAGCCGTCAGTGGGTTCTCCAGATAGCTCTTCCATGCCTCATCCTCGCTGCTGAACACTCTGCGGGAGGCCACCGACACCTCATTTGGCACCACCACCACCAGCCGTTTACTGCTGATACAAAAGGAGAAGAGAGGAAGTGACGGCGAGCTTCGTTGTTACAAGGAAGCCGATCTGTCATCACCAGCAGGCATTATTCCGAGCCAACGGGTACCCCTCAGGCTGTTTCTCATCTAACTCCAACGTCATCTCCTACATGAGGTGTAGGGGGGAAATCTCATCAGATTAACTAAAACAACTAAATGAAAACTCAAAAACATATCTGAGGACATTTGGGGTAATTACACCATTCTTGTGCAACCTCAGGGTTTGCTTTATGGTAACAAACAGTCCTTGACCTTGATTTCAATAATAACCTGCGATACAAGACTCTGTTTGGTTCGTCTGAAACCAGAGCATGTGTGCTCTCTGGGATGCACCACGTTTGTTAGGCGACACCTGATCGTTTACAGCAGGAACTGATTCACTCGCTCATGAGAAAACATAGAAACGCTCCTGGTTTGCCGCTCTCTGCAGGCTGCTGTCACCGGCTTTCATTCCCTAAATTTAATTTCAACCGTCTTTCCTGAAAAATCAAACATGGAACCCTCCCAGGAAACACCTGGATGTTAGGCTCTGTGGCCACGCCGAGGTAGAACTTTGAGTCCGTTTAGATGAGTGGTTCCCAACCACACACACACACACACACACACACACACACACACACACACACACACACACACACACACACACACACAAGAAAAGTGATTAGTGAAAACTATACAGTCATACCTGTCCGGTTTCTCAGAGCTCTGATTAACCTTTCGGGAATATTTTTGGGATTTTATAATCTTGGTAATCTCACAACCTTAGCACAGACAACCTTGAGGGGACCCCCTGCAGCTTGGAATCACTGGTCTCGTCGCCTCACGAAGGGCTTCAGTTCACTTTTCCTTTATGGTGAACAAAGTTAATAGTTCCGAAGGAAACTGTGATCAAGTTGTTCTCAGAGACTTTGTCTTACCTGTCCAGGTCCATGATGTCTTCAGGACTCTGCAGTTTTCATGGGCAAACGACAAACTTTCCTTTGTAGTCAGAGCAGGTGACGGACGACCAGAACCGTCTCGGCCCTCGCTTTCAACAGCCAATCAAATATTCCCACCAGCTACAGCCTGATCTGACACCTGACAGGTAAAGACAACGGACAGCCAAGATGACTGGTTTAGAAAAGTGCATTTGGGTTTGGTTTCTGGTCAGAAAAACAGCGGAGATTACAGATGCAGCACCTGGGAGGCAGGACAAACGAGGAAACGGCAGGTAAGTCGCTGATTGGTCAGAAAGTTGTGAGCAGGTGAGAAAGCGACTCTCCAATTGGTGGATTACAAAAGAACGATCCACTCAATGTGGGAAAATTCAATATTTTACTGTTGCTCAAATTAATTCACTTGTTTTATTAGCTGCATTAATATTAATTAATCTAAATTATCTGATTTGAAACATTCATTTCCAGGTTTTGGAAAACGACCCAGACAATGTTTACGAACGTTTACCTTCGTGCAATAAAATTCACTGAAAGAAACCTGCAGACAACGCAACTATTTTAACTAAACGCTTTGAACAAACTGTGAATATCACTTGTTTTCACGCACAAAATAAGTAAAGATTATTTTATGAGGAAAATGTGAACCCTTTTCATTTTAGGATTAGGATTGGGATTTTAGGATGAAAATCAATGACCACCATCGACATGACCACACACACGCACACCCACTTCCCGTTTATCCACACTATCGACATCCACACTGATAAAACATTTCTGGTAACGGAGGGAAATCGGAGTCATAACAGGACACTGCACCCACGTGCGTTTTATGAGTTTTTATAAATTCGCTAATTCCCGATGACGTATCAGATTAGCGCTAAATCTTATTCTGCAGAAAATGTATAGTAGGAAGAATTTGGTCCAAGCGTGCAGAGTTGCGCCGTGACATCTGGTGGTGGGCCTTTTTCTACACACTGCTCAGAGAAAGTTATTATCGATTTTATCATTTGTTGGTTGTTTATCATGTTTTATAAATCACGAGAGCAGTGCTGAATTCAGGTGTTGTTGTTTTGTTTCTAATTATAAAATAACAAGAATTATTTACTGAAGGACCCTGAACGCATCATGATTCACGCATTGAGCATGCGCATTTCGACCAGGTGGGTGGTGTCTGGGATTGAGAAGAACATGTTTCTGGATGCTGTCCTAAAATACAGCGTGTGTTGTTACAGCTGTGTCCTGATGCTGAGTCTCTCCTAGATGTTTAATGTTTTCCACTGCTAGCTAGCACGCTAGCTGTGCTACAACCGGGGCTAACGAGCGCGTGCAAAATAGTTTAAAATCACATCAGTTTTTTTCACGTCACATTTATTTATGAACACAGGCCATTCTTTACTAATACACTGGTGTTGTGCAGTGTTGTTTTTCTCACTGGTTCTTGTAGCGAAGCGTCCCTAAAGTGGAGCAGCGTCATTAACGTAGGAGCTGCTTATGTGACAAACCTGAAACTTCTGCCCACCGGCGCTTTGCTTGTCGGGTTTATACAACCTTTCTGTCTATAGCTGCAAACATGCCTGCCGTCTAATTTTCTTAGGGGAAATTCACAAGTTAATCGTCTTATCTGTGACCCAAAAACCTGCTATTAGCCTAGTTCCGGGTCTTTGGATGTTGTACATCTGCACTGATGAGACGTTAAATTGGAACTAGCTCTGCTTCAGCCAAGCCTTAGTTGGTGAAACTTTCTTGGTTTGTGGTGGTTTCCATCACCTTTTCCTGAGTCAGAGTTTGCCAGCGAGGGTTTACAGGTTATAACTTGATGTGACTTGATGTGCTGATCAAATTCCTGCATCATTTCTCAGGTGTAACATCAGAAATGGCCCGTGGGCACCAGAAGCTTCAGTCCCAGCAGAAAAACGCCAAGAAGCAGGCTGAAATAAAGAAGATCAAGGGTCATAACCAGAAAGCATTTAGTGTACACATGCACTGTATGAGTTCATCAGTAAGTTTGGGTGCAGCGAAGTAGAAATGGCTATGAGGTACCAGGTGGTACGTTAACGTCCACGTTTATCTTCTAGATCTCAAAGAAACTGACATTTTACTGATGATGTAATCTTTGAAAACTAAACAGATTTGTTGTTACATGGACACTGCAACTTTTTACTGTAAAAGTACAGATTTGATGTGTATTTCTGTCAAAAACTTCAGTAAAAGCTTTACAAAACTTTAAAGACTGAAGCCATTTAAACTCTACACTTTTCAGTGAATTGATTCTTATAAAAATTCCAGATATGGAATTGAATCGATTGGTAAATTGAAAATTTGATTACATTTTTTGCCGTAGTTGTACGGCTGAACTCGGAAGGTCATTTTATAGTTGGGTCTGAAAGGGTTAATGCAGTTTCCCCCTGAACTAGTTTCCCCCTGAACTACCTTACCCAGTGTTGTGTCACTGAATTACAGGCATGTCATTAAAGTGACAATGTGTTTACTTTTTACCATTAATCTCTTGAAATATCCATCAAAATGTTTATGAAAATGAATTACAGGATGCCCATTTGTTGAAAAATTTTAGCGACTTCGCAACATATAGCCATAGAAATCAGGTCTAAAACATCTGGGAGTGTGTCTAAGGCCCAAACCCAACACTCACACTTCCAACCTTCAACTGCGCGATCCCGTCCATGGGTGCGGGTGTGTATGGTGTCCCGAATCTTAAGGTCAGAAGTTGACCACTCCCCTTTTGCACTCTTAATTTGCACTAAAAAAGTAGCACGAACAGCATTGAGGTCGATAATGCAATGCTCCCTGTCCCAGTTTAGCACATATTTGCACACTTGTGTACTACGCACTCAAAGCCTTCCTGCACACTTCCTCCAAGTGCACTTCACAGAACACCGTTGGGATGGAGCCTGGGCCTAAGTCTCTGGGCAATGCTATGCTTTCTACAGGAGCCCGTGAGGACAAAACACATTTACTGACGTGTAACAAGGGGTTACAAAAGCTTCACCATTTATAAACGTTGTTTTACACATTTACCTCTTCACCTGTTGTTAGTGATGAAAGGGAGTCTGATGTCATTTTGCTGGAGGTCAAACGATCTGATGAAGTACTCGTTCCAAAATTGTGCATCCAGGGATTTTTGACCCTAATGGCCATCCATTGCTAAGGTCTTACTCTTAACACAAAAATACAACTTTCTGCAATGATTTAGGTGTGTACCTATCACCAGGGAAAATACACCCAGTCACTTTGAGGAAACGGCTAGAAAAGCATTTGAATAGCACTGACCCATATCGATACCCAGCTCTAGTTCATCAGGAGTGTGCATAATCCAAAATCACTTAACAGTTACCTTAAATATCAACTACAAGTGTAAACAAAGAGCAGCAACACCCACACCCACACACACTCTTCTATTAAAATATAATCCACAGCTTCAGTAACCTCTAAGCTTCCTCATTATTCAGTAGCTCTGTCATGTTCTGTAAACTTTCCTCCTCACGTGACCTCTTCGGTCATTGTGCTTTGCTGTTTTTTTTAATGGTGAAGCACGTCTGTTTTCTACCATTAGTAGCACCAGTGTTCTTGCACATTTCATTAGATTTTGTGCTTTTTCTTGTAGCCAAACCAAATTTAAACACCTGAAAAGGTAAGCTAATGTGCTGCTCTAACACTCCCTGGTGAGTGAGCTGCGGTTATCAGCCATAAATGACTGGTGTGGGCATTTGCTGCTAGCCCTGCTGGATCTTCAGAGGAACGGAGCGTTTGGCGGTTATGTAACCGGATTACAGGATACAATAAGATAATTAAAAGAAAAAATAAACAAATGGGCCAATAATTAGGTTCGGGGAGAATTGGAGGTTGTTTAAGAATGACTGGAGTCACGGGTATAGCATGAAACGGTTTATATACTAAATTTTAATAATAATGGGAAATATAACACATAAGATAACACACAAAAACAGATGAAAACAATCGACAATAGTAAAATGGTCGGTATGAGATTTGATCATATGAGTCACAAGTCAGCCGGCGTCAAGTCAAATCCCCACGCTTGGGGTGAAAGTCAGAGTCCGGTGGTGCGATTTTTTCCTACCGCACCGTTGAGATTGTTCACAGAAGAGAGCAGTCTGCTCTTCAGTTACTTGAGATGTCCTGGTTCGTTCAGTGGTTAAGGCTCGCCATCTCCCTCGTCAGGAAGAAATCCAGTTCTCGTTCCAAGTGAGTGATCATAGGAGTCGGGATCAAACCCAAGGAAAAAAAAACCCAGCCTGTAAACAACAGGACTGTTAGCAAGTTGGCATCGACCCTTCTCGTCACATCACAGCATAAAGTCTTACAGACTTAAACAAATGCTTCACTCTATTGGCATAGCCAATCATGTTTGGGTTCACAGTTCAACTAACATAACATCAATTTGATTGTCTATTAAAATAATTCTCAGTAGCTCTGGAAATATAATTACATATGACAACAATTGTTCAGCTCAATAGGCTCAGTTAGATTCTATTACTCTACACTATTCGACAAGAAATACATTCATGACAACAAGGATACATTTAGTTGTGTTTCTATACAGCATTGTGACACCTTGTATATCTGTAACACAATAAATAAATAAATAAATAAACAAACAAATAAATAAATAAATAAATAAAATTTTCTATAACAAAATTAAACAAAATATAAATTCTGGTCCTTTGGTCCACCTTTGTAAAATAATTCCTCCCTAATCAGTTAGCTTTTATTTATTTTTATTTATCTATTTTTTTTTATTATTAAATGTTTGGTTAAGGGACGCATTACTAATTCTATGGCGTTAGCTATAACGCCCCTGAGGACCTTGTACATCTAGGCCGTACCACCATTAACTGGCGGTTTGAGCCGTTAACTCCTGGGAATCCCATATGCCCTACCGCCGTTAACTGGCGGTTTGAGCCGTTAACTCCTATATGCCCTACCACCGTTAACTGGTAGTTTGAGATGTTAACTCCTGGGATCTAACGTCTAGCAGCCCACTGCTGTCACCTCGGTTGCTGTAATTAGCTTTTTGAATTTAATAATTTACTGAATTTAATCTCATTCACTCACCAACGCGCTCCAACGGTTCCCTCCTACAGAGGATTGGTTCACTCTGTCGTCTCCACACAAATCTATAAGAATGGAATTAATTTGATAAGCTATTTAAGTTTCCTTTTTTTTTTTAAGTTGCATCGTTAGCTTTTTCTCTTCTTTTTTCTTTACTCACCGCGTTGGTTCCAAGTTCCTAGCTCTTATTAGAAGGAGTCAAGTCCGCCTCTCCCTCTATCTATGCGGCACCCAAATCAGGGTTCTTCACGGCCTCGACCGTTGTTTTTTTTTCTCTCTCTCTCTCTCTCTAACCGCTCAGTCTTTGCTTTCTGTATCTGCGTGCTGCACAGCCGTTTGTCTCTCCTCTCGCTCAGCTGCGTCGCACGGTTTTATTTCGCGGAGGCGGGACTTATTTCTCTCAGCCAATGAAATTTCAGATTCCCACCTGGACCAATAGTATACAGCTTTCCTCTTCTGTTTCTGTTAGTGATGTTCAAGATTCTTGTTTTAACCGATGTTTAATATTAAACTCGTTATTTTAGTTATTCACCCTTCCAATAATTCATTATGAAATTATCTATTAGTTAATTAGATATCTATTAATTAGTATTGTTAATTTCCTTAATTTATATTTTATATTTTATCTAAATTGAGGATGGATCATATTAGTAAGCCAATTAGTTAATACCTCATTAAGGTTCTAGCTTCTGGGTTACATCCTCCCCCATTAAATATCATGCACGTCCCTGTGCATTGTTTCTACGGGGTACACAACTTCTTGAGTAAGAGAGTCAATAAAAGCTTTATTAAGTCCTTGGAAAAGGGACCTAACTACGGTCACTAGTGGATTGCCCAATTGAGAGTAAGTTAGTCTTTGAGGAGGCTGACTACTTCGTTCAGATCTCCTGACATACATCTCTGGTTGCACAGTATCATGCTCATCCGTTTCGGTTTGATTCTCAACTGAGACAGGACGAAGTGAGCTCTCTGTTTCCGACAGAGCTGATGAGCTATTCTCTAAGACTTTGGTCTTTTCAGATGTATGTGTCTGATCGTGTATGATGGGTTCAAAACTTACATCACGTTGCTGCGACTTTAGGACACCATCCAATTGAGGTAGGTTTGTGTTAGTTTCATCCCCCGTTTCTACGTCAGGTAAGTATACTTCGTTTTTTTTCGTTTTTTCAGGTAAGTATGTTGCTGCTTCTTTCACTCTTTCAGGTAAGAATGTCGCAGTTTCACTCAGTCTGTCAGGTAAGAATGTTTCGGTGTTGATGCCTTTGTCAAGTAAGGACAATTCAGCATTTTCATTACCAGCTAAGGTTGGTTCCTTGCGATCCCCTGTGTGTAAGGATAGTGTGTTTTGTTGTTGAATATTATTTACCGGTCCTGAATCTGCTATGAGTTCCCTATTTGGCAAGGTGACCGCTATTTGATAGGATGGTCGGTTTAGCACTTGTGGAAGATCAGAGTAATAAAACTCATCTACCTCTTCGTCAAGTGGCTCATCTGGGTCAGGTTCTAAGGCTGAACTCTGTCTTGTATGAGGTCTGCTAGGTTTCGTAACGCGTTCTGTTTCATTTTCTAATGAAGAGAGAAAACCACAAGGCAGTAAAAGATCTCTGTGGAGTGTTCTGTTGGGTCCTTCTCCGTTCTCTGGTTTTACAGTGTATACTGGCAAGTTTTCCATCTGTTTGAGAACTATACACACTGTTTGCTCCCATTTGTCTGCTAATTTATGCTTTTCTCTTAAGCGAAGATTTCGGACTAAAACACGATCTCCCACACCTAGTGTGGACTCACGAATGTTTCTGTCGAACCGTTCTTTGTTCTTCCTCGCTGTTTTTTGAGAGTTTTTTATGACAATGTCATAACTCTGTTCCAGATGACTCTTCAGTTCTTTAACATACTGAGAATGAGTTATAGAGGGCTTGTTCAAATGCGGTAACCCAAAGGCAATATCTATAGGCAACCGAGGCTGCCTACCGAACATTAGCTCGTAGGGAGAGTATCCCGTCACGTCATTTTTTGTACAATTGTACGAGTGAGTAAGTGTTTTTACAAAATCGCGCCAGTGATGTTTCTCAGTGGCTTGTAAAGTTCCCAACATGCTGAGTAATGTACGATTGTACCGTTCAACGGGGTTGCCACGAGGGTGATAAGGGCTCGTTCTGACTTTACGGATACCAAGTAAAGAACAAAGTTCCTTGATTGTACGTGATTCGAAATCCCATCCCTGATCACTATGAAGACGCTCAGGAAACCCGTAGTGGACTAAAAAATGTTCCCACAGGTTCTTCGCGACGGTGGTGGCTTTCTGATCTTTGGTTGGGATGGACACTGCATACTTTGTAAAATGGTCTGTAATCACTAAGACATCTTTAGTGTTCTTACTGTCTGGTTCTATGGAGAGAAAATCCATGCAAACTAACTCCATAGGTCTGGTGGTGGTAATACTCACCATTGGAGCAGCTTTGTCAGGGAGGGCCTTCCGACGGATACATCTTTCGCAAGTTTTAACTTTGATTTCGATATCACTAGCCATTCTTGGCCAGTAAAAACGGGACCGAATGAGATCTGTCGTACGTTCAACCCCAAGATGCCCCATATCATCATGTAGGCTTTGCATGACGGTTGAACGTAATGAATCAGGCAAGACTAACTGCAATGATGTCTCTGGTCCTAATTGGCGTCTCCGGTACAGTAAATCATTTTGAAACTCAAACCGTTTCCACTCTCTCAAAAGGTTAAGAACCACCGGGGGTTCTGCAATAGTATCAGTTGGCGGTTTATTGTCAGTCATAAGCAGCTGAATGACTCGGCCAATGGTTGGATCTTTCCTCTGCAAGGAGACAAGGTCAGCATGGTTATACTTGGGCACAGCAAAGAAACTGTCACTATTGTCTTCCAACTGGAATAGGTCTGGAATGGCCGCTGCAGACATGGCAAGTGACTGAACTAAACCACAAGGAGAATCAGTCTCATCCAAGACCATGTGCTTTTGGCATGTTGCCTTCACTGCTTCGGCTTGAAGTTGAAGCTCGACTTCTTTGACAGAGGATAAAAGATGAGATTGGAACTCATCTAGTCGTTGGCATTCCTCAGTGAATTTTGAGTTGTCTTCAGGTTTATCATGCAGCCTCCTAGACAGGCCATCCGCGTCAACGTTCTGTGTACCTGCACGGTATCTGATGTCAAAATTATAGGTGGACAACGCAGCTAGCCAACGATAGCTCGTTGCATCGAGTTTTGCCGTTGTTAAGAGGTAAGTTAACGGATTATTATCAGTAATGACAGTGAATGTGTTCCCATACAAATAGTCATGAAACTTATCTGTTATGGCCCACTTTAAGGCTAGAAACTCCAACTTGTGCGCAGGGTACCTAGTTTCACTAGAGCTTAAACCGCGACTTGCATAAGCGATTACCTGTGTGACACCGTTTTGCACTTGGTATAGCGCTGCACCGAGTCCGGTCGTACTAGCATCTGTGTGTACTAGATATGGGAGTTTTGCGTCAGCGTAGCCAAGAACTGGCGAAGTGGTAAGTTTTTCAATAATAGTTTGAAAGGACTTCTCACAGTCTTGGCTCCAACGATTCCCAAAGGGTTCTTTGGGGTTCAAGTACTTTGATCTACATGGTGGTGTTTTAAAGTTTTTCCGTTTGGGTGGATAACCAGCCGTGAGAGATGTTAGTGGCTTGACAATATTTGAGTAATCTTTAACGAAGCGTCGGTAATAACCGGTAAATCCTAAGAAAGATTGGAGTTCCTTCAAAGTCTGAGGCTTCGGCCATGTTTTGAGTGCTTCCACCTTATCTGGATCGGTTTTTATGCCATCTCGAGATACTATATGTCCAAGATAACGCACAGATGTCTGGAAAAAACGACACTTATCTGGTGATAGCTTGAGTCCGTATTCTCTAAGCCGTTCAAGAACGTGAGAAAGTCTGGTTTCGTGTTCTTCCAAGGAGTTGGAAAAGACGATCAAGTCGTCTAGGAAAACTAACACTTCCTTCAGATTAATGTCCTTCATACACTTTTCCATAACCCGTTGGAAAGTGCTTGGAGCATTTGTTATTCCTTGTGGCATACGGTTAAATTCATAAAACCCAAACGGGCAAACAAAAGCAGTTTTAGGTTTATCCTTTTCACACATCTCTATTTGATAGTAACCTGACTTGAGGTCCATCACAGAAAACCACTGTGATCCAGCGAGAGCAGAAAAGGACTCCTCCAAGTTAGGCAGGGCATATGCGTCGCGAATGGTTTGCAGATTAAGCTTTCTATAGTCTATACATAGACGTACCTCACCATTCTTTTTCCGAACTACCACTATTGGTGAGGCAAATGGAGACTCCGACTCTCTTATTATACCGGTTTCCAAGAGGGCTTCCAAATGTTTTCTCACGGCTTCATAATCATGTGGATGGATCGGCCGAGATTTATGTTTGAATGGGGTCTCGTCTTTTAAGTTGATGTGATGTCTTATCTGTTGTGTATGACCAAAATCAAGATCGTGGTGCGAAAACACATCGGAGTAAGTGTTAAGTTTGTTGGTGATCCTCCCTTTCCATTCTTCGGACAAGGGCGAAGTACCGAAGTCAAAACTGAGAGGAGGGTTTGAAGGTGAAGTCTGTTGCTGCGAACTACACGCCGCAAGTACTTTCTGATCACTTTTGTCAGGTTCTGGATATGGCATAACACGATCGGCTTTAACTAACTCAGCGATCACACAGTTAGTGGGTAATGTGATGTCATGGTTAGTTTCGTTTCTTAGTACAACAGGTACTTTGTATGGACCATGTGAAGGTAAGGAAATGAGGCAACAGTCTACAATTATACCCCCTGGTAGAGAACCATTGGTGGGTTGTTCAATGAGTGCATAAGGCTCATGCTTGTTTTGGCTGGGTTGCATAAACCCTTCTAGTAACAGTTTTTTATTTGCAGGGAGAACTTCTTGGGTTCTCCCTCGAAGCTTCACCACACCAACTCGTCCATCTTTGCTTTGTTTTTTTCTGACTGCTAAGGCTTTTAGCACGTGTTGGTACCCATAAGAGAGTGCCTTGGAATCAGGTAAGTTATTGGCAGACAATTGCTCATACAAAGGATCGAGTGTGTTTGTGCCAATGAGTAGTGGTGTATCAGAGTTTGAGCTTATATCCGGAACCACTAACGCAAGGGTAGGTAACTCAAGTCCAGACTGATCGAGCTCTTTTGGAAATGTGACACTTATCTCTATGTATCCTAAATAAGGAACTGCTTGACCGTTTGCGCCCTCGACTTCTAACAGATTACTGATGGGTTTAATTGAGAGGTCAGGTAAGTGTTCTTGGTAAAAAGAATTGGCAATGGTGGTTACCTGGGACCCTGAATCCAGTAAACAATTACATTCAACACTGTTAACTGAGACTGTAGCTGTGCATCGCCCACCCACTAATCTTTTGGGAAGTTTTGGCACTGAATGAGCATGAACTGGCTTGCAAAAAAGTCTCTCTGTCCTTTCCTTAGAGGGACTTGGTTCTACTTTAGCACCTATCTGTCCCACGATAGGAGCTTCTACCGGTTTAAAGGAGGAGACTGAGCAATTGGCTTTGACATCTCCCACTCGCGCTGCTTCTGTCTAAGAGCAAGTCGTTTAGTTGCAACTAGTGCTGGATTTGGCTCGTTGCTACAGCTAGAAGCTATGTGCCCATCTTCTCCGCACTTAAAACAGTATCCAGGCTTTGGTCTGGGCACCACTGCTGTTATCTGCTGAATCTGTTTGGGCTCATCTGGAATTTTAGTCCCCACACGGGGTTTTGACTCTTTTTGAGTTTTCTTTGCCTTTTTATCTGTGTTGTTAACCTTAAGCTGTGCAATTTGGCTCCTGAGCTCAGCGATTTGTTTGCGTAAGTCATCACAGTTATCATCTATTTCCAGTTCACAAGTGTTTTTACTCTGAGAGCATGTTGTTTGCACATTTGAATACACTCTAGTTCGTTGTGCCCCTAAGTGTTGTTTCATGCGTGCTGCTTTAGTAGCCTGTTTGTCTTCTTCAGTGCGCAGTTTGAGGAGAAGTGCTGTAAAATGAGGCGGGTTGTCTTTCTTTTGTTCGAGTTGCAGGTTTGAAATCAGCGAGCTGTCCCAACAGCCTCTGCAAAACTGCTTGAGCAGCTGCTGGTCGGCGTCACTGGAGGAAATTCCATTCCTCTGAATAACTAGGTTTAACAAGGTGTATAACCTCTGAAAGTAATCGGAAGGTTTTTCACCACTGTCCTGGTTTGTGTTTAAGAAGCGAGCAAAGAGCTCGTCGCCGTCTTCGACAGCTGCGTAAGCTGAATCGAGATGTTCAAGGTACGTTTCCGGGTCGGATTTTGGACTAAGAGCTTTAACGATGCTCGCTGCTGGGGCTGACAGACTCTCCACGATTCTTCGTACAATTTGGGACTTGGTGAGTGAAGGATCATTTATGCATAACACTACACTACTACGCCAAGTATCATAGTCAGTTTCAAAAGAAGGGTGTGGAACTCGCCCTGAGAACGGTTTTAGTCTGTATTGTGAAGTAGGCGGAGGGATAACCTCACTGCTTTTAACAATGTGTTCCACAATAACTCGCTGAACCTCAGGTGTGTTTAAAAGATTTGGTGGAATGCAAGGGTTTTGTTTTCCAGTCTCTGTAGGTGGACAATTGTCCTTTGAGTTGTTCATATAGTTAACTTCTGGTGTTAAAGGCAGGGAATATGTAACTTGGTCACTATGGAGCATTGGCTCTAGTTCAGTGACTGGTTCAGATGCATGGGTATCCCTTCCTAAAGATTCCCCAATTTTTGCCAGTTCCTCCATTAGAAGGTCTTTAAATGATTGATTGCTACGCGCAGCTATGTCCCTGAGCTCTGACAGATAGGCATCAGTGGCAGATGTGCTAGTTTCTAGACTGTACGCGCTGGCTAGGTCTTGAATATGAAAGAAAACATCTGGGTTCCTAGTACAAGGTTTGTCATAGGGTAAACATTGTTTCTTTAATTCCTTAACAGTGGCTTCATGTTGAAACTCCACAATAATCTGATCACAGTTTGGTAACTTAATGCGCCTGTTAACTGGTCCGAATCCTTCCATAAACCCAAAGACTTCGTTATCAAGGTCTGTATCAGTTAACCCACTGATTAAAACAGCATTTGAAACCTTGACCTTTTCTGTTTTTACAACTTCCATTTTAAAACACTCAAAAGTACCAATAATGCCAAAATGGCAAACCACTGTGACCTCCAGGCACTCTTATGATGTCAGTCAATGGTTAGCTAAGGTAACAACTCTACAATTCTCCTGGCTGGCTCGCCAAGTTTTATGTAACCGGATTACAGGATACAATAAGATAATTAAAAGAAAAAATAAACAAATGGGCCAATAATTAGGTTCGGGGAGAATTGGAGGTTGTTTAAGAATGACTGGAGTCACGGGTATAGCATGAAACGGTTTATATACTAAATTTTAATAATAATGGGAAATATAACACATAAGATAACACACAAAAACAGATGAAAACAATCGACAATAGTAAAATGGTCGGTATGAGATTTGATCATATGAGTCACAAGTCAGCCGGCGTCAAGTCAAATCCCCACGCTTGGGGTGAAAGTCAGAGTCCGGTGGTGCGATTTTTTCCTACCGCACCGTTGAGATTGTTCACAGAAGAGAGCAGTCTGCTCTTCAGTTACTTGAGATGTCCTGGTTCGTTCAGTGGTTAAGGCTCGCCATCTCCCTCGTCAGGAAGAAATCCAGTTCTCGTTCCAAGTGAGTGATCATAGGAGTCGGGATCAAACCCAAGGAAAAAAAAACCCAGCCTGTAAACAACAGGACTGTTAGCAAGTTGGCATCGACCCTTCTCGTCACATCACAGCATAAAGTCTTACAGACTTAAACAAATGCTTCACTCTATTGGCATAGCCAATCATGTTTGGGTTCACAGTTCAACTAACATAACATCAATTTGATTGTCTATTAAAATAATTCTCAGTAGCTCTGGAAATATAATTACATATGACAACAATTGTTCAGCTCAATAGGCTCAGTTAGATTCTATTACTCTACACTATTCGACAAGAAATACATTCATGACAACAAGGATACATTTAGTTGTGTTTCTATACAGCATTGTGACACCTTGTATATCTGTAACACAATAAATAAATAAATAAATAAACAAACAAATAAATAAATAAATAAATAAAATTTTCTATAACAAAATTAAACAAAATATAAATTCTGGTCCTTTGGTCCACCTTTGTAAAATAATTCCTCCCTAATCAGTTAGCTTTTATTTATTTTTATTTATCTATTTTTTTTTATTATTAAATGTTTGGTTAAGGGACGCATTACTAATTCTATGGCGTTAGCTATAACGCCCCTGAGGACCTTGTACATCTAGGCCGTACCACCATTAACTGGCGGTTTGAGCCGTTAACTCCTGGGAATCCCATATGCCCTACCGCCGTTAACTGGCGGTTTGAGCCGTTAACTCCTATATGCCCTACCACCGTTAACTGGTAGTTTGAGATGTTAACTCCTGGGATCTAACGTCTAGCAGCCCACTGCTGTCACCTCGGTTGCTGTAATTAGCTTTTTGAATTTAATAATTTACTGAATTTAATCTCATTCACTCACCAACGCGCTCCAACGGTTCCCTCCTACAGAGGATTGGTTCACTCTGTCGTCTCCACACAAATCTATAAGAATGGAATTAATTTGATAAGCTATTTAAGTTTCCTTTTTTTTTTTAAGTTGCATCGTTAGCTTTTTCTCTTCTTTTTTCTTTACTCACCGCGTTGGTTCCAAGTTCCTAGCTCTTATTAGAAGGAGTCAAGTCCGCCTCTCCCTCTATCTATGCGGCACCCAAATCAGGGTTCTTCACGGCCTCGACCGTTGTTTTTTTTTCTCTCTCTCTCTCTCTCTAACCGCTCAGTCTTTGCTTTCTGTATCTGCGTGCTGCACAGCCGTTTGTCTCTCCTCTCGCTCAGCTGCGTCGCACGGTTTTATTTCGCGGAGGCGGGACTTATTTCTCTCAGCCAATGAAATTTCAGATTCCCACCTGGACCAATAGTATACAGCTTTCCTCTTCTGTTTCTGTTAGTGATGTTCAAGATTCTTGTTTTAACCGATGTTTAATATTAAACTCGTTATTTTAGTTATTCACCCTTCCAATAATTCATTATGAAATTATCTATTAGTTAATTAGATATCTATTAATTAGTATTGTTAATTTCCTTAATTTATATTTTATATTTTATCTAAATTGAGGATGGATCATATTAGTAAGCCAATTAGTTAATACCTCATTAAGGTTCTAGCTTCTGGGTTACAGTTACAATCCTTACTCCATTTTCTACTCGATGCTTCTGCTTACATCAATGCTTACACAGAGCCACTGTTAACAGGTGTTGATGTAATATTTATATGTGACGATACTTCTCACACAAAACAAACGTTCACTTTTGCTTTTCAGTTTTCCCCGCTGCATGTTTTTGTTTGCTAATAAAAGCAGCATAAATCAACCAGCGGCTTTAATCAACAACATTAGGCAGCTAAAAGCCTTTGTGTAGGTTCTAATGTTTCTCTTTTTGTTTATTCTCAGACACAAATGCCTGACCCAAAGACCTTCAAGCAGCACTTTGAGAGCAAACATCCCAAGTCTGCCATGCCCCCCTGGTTAGATGGTGTGGAGGCGTGACGTACTCACCCCTCCTCCGAACCCTGATTCAAGACTAGAGTCTTTGGACGTAAAATAAGTGTTTCAAATGATATGTCTTCTTTTCTACTTTGTCTCTTTGGGTGATTGAATTGGTGACTGAGGGGTTTATGCAGGGATGGTGCTCATCTACTGACCTGTGGTAATTTACTCAGATTACTTTATTGGGACCTCTCCTGCAGAAAGTTATCCAGATCAATTCCTGAAGAACAAAGCAGACATCTCCCCTCTGTTGACTTGCACCAAAAAGCCTCCAGGTTCCTGAGTGTGAGACATTTCAGTCTGATCCTTTTAACATGTAGAAGAGCTCGGGAGCTGTTCCACCTCCTCAGGTCCCCAAGTGGTGCACAACAAGCTGCGAAGATGAGTTTTCACAATCACGTTTGTTGGAAGTCTTCTGCTTTCAGCACATCCAATTTAGACCTTTGACAGATTATATTTTATGAGCTCCATTTGGATCCTTGATTAATAATAATACACAATATTTGAGAACAGAACATTCTAGAAAAGGCAGATTTAAAACAAGCGTAATGTATTATTTTGGGCATGTTTTTAAGGCTAAGCTGCACTGAGACTTTTGCTGCCTAGAACATTTCAAGAAAAGTGTAGATGTTTGTGTGAAGAACATGTTCAACACTCTGTGCTACGTGAGAACTGAACTGCTCTTTACACCCAGCCCTCATTTTTCCTGAGCAGTATTCAATCCACATCCTGGGGAACGTCTTCTAGGCAGAAGGAAAGGTTGACTAGAGGCAGCGGTCCCACCCAGGGCCGAACTGCTTAGGGTTTTCAGCCTAAAACACTTTTAGTGGTTTCCTGTTTGACGTGGTTGTACTAAACGATGCTGGTAAATTATTCTGGTTCCCAGTAAACCGTGTCATAGGAATGCACCGCTGTGATTCGATACAGAGGTAGATCATCACTGATGGAGATCGCTGTGTAACCTGTGTGACAGTGTGAGTGTCCTGTCACAATGTCCCGATTGATCATGCGCCCTGGCTACTTGGCCAAGGGGATGTCCCTTTGGCAGACTGGTTAGAGCGTATGACTCTCACCCGGGAGTCTGGGGATCGAATCCCACCCGGGTCCTCGTTTATCCACCTTGCCACACCTGTCTCACGGTTCTAAGACATGTAAGTGTTGTCTGTGAAGGTTCTCAGTCATCCAGGTCATTGTAGTCTAAGGAGCTTTGAAAGAAAAGCGTCTGGACTTCTTTGAGTTGCTTGAAGACGTTTCACAATGAGCTCACCCGAAACTCTGGCTGAATAGGACCCACACCCACCCTCACACCTTGGCTCGTGTGTTTATGTAGAAGATCATCGGGGGTCTTTTGTTCCCTCTTCGGGGGGAAACTCCCACTGGGTTTGAATCTGGGACTCTCCACCATTTGACCTTAGAACTGAAGAAGCCTCTCGGATGAGAGGAGAAACGTCTTCAAGCAACTCAAAGAAGTCCAGACACTTTTCTTTCAAAGCTCATTAGACATGTAAGTGTTCCAACACAGAAGCTGCATTAAAAGTCTAAACTGCATGACGCTGTAACTGAGCTCTGGTTCTTATGTTTGCATCAGCTTCCTGTTACAGTTAAATTCATACAGAGGAGCTTTTGTCTGGGACCTTCTGGTGTTCAACCACTGTATCACTGTGCTTGACTGACAACCAGCCATGTTTTTACTTTTGTAATATCTGTGTAATGTATAGAATTTTAATAAAGGTATTTTTATCAAAGCCAACTTGTTTTCATTGGGTTGTTTATGCAAACATCTATGGAGGGTTGATGATGTTTTAGGCATTGCTGGTTTTAAACTCAAGTATTTTAAGTTTAGGTGTTAAATCATCCACATGAATAAATCTCTAAACTCTTAAATTAGATTACACACACTTCACATGTTTTAACAAAAAGCCTTGACCTCCTTCAGTTGGTCCAGAACTCTGCAGCGAGGCTCCGAACTGGAGCAAACAGAAGAGCACACATCACTCCTGTTCTGATGTCTCTGCACTGGTTACCCGTTAACTTTAGAGTTCATTTTAGAATCCTGACTAGAACTTTCAGGGCTCTACATGTTCAAGCTCCTCCCTATATTACTGAACTCTTAAAGCCTTATGCTCTGTAGCGTTAGGAAGTTTATAATGGTCTGCCTATAACAGCTGCCCCTTCACACAGTAACATCGCCAAGGTCGGACGCTTGGTTCAGTATGTTTACATTCCAGGAGAAGAGACATAAGAACAGAAGAAGAACGCTTTTCACTGATTAATCAAAGTACTTTATTTGTGATAAGCTAATGAAAGCATTTGTTGATCATTAATAATCAGGTGAATGATCTGTGAAATAAAGATGTCATGAGTTATGTGTTTAAATGAATAAACAGGGCTGCACCAGACAGACTGATATGCATTACCATGGAAACGCATGACACATTGTTTTCAACCAATCAGAACTTTCGTCTGTCGTAGAGAGAATCTGGTTTGTTTATGAAAGTAGTCCAATCCGGTTTACTAAGATTCATAAACAACTGGGAGATATAAAAAGAAGGCAACGCCATTTTAAGTCAGTTCCACGTTAAGTTCCACGTTGACATCAGCTCTGTTCGATCCGAGCTCCAAGGAGTTACATCATACTCTCAACATTGTTTTCAACCAGCTCTCAATCCATCACCGCAAAGAGGAATACAGGCTGGCCATCTGTATTTCCTGTTTTAAGCTGAGATCTGTCAAGCTGGAGACTTCCGTCGTTTGTACCAACGAGACAACCGTCCTTCAAAATAAGAGTGAACTTGCTGACGCCTGCCCACTACTACTGGAGTTATCCTCAGACGGGCGTTGTGTGCTGTGACCGCTGTTTCAACCAGCTCCAGTACAACCGAGGTCTTAGAACCTGGCAATTCCTGATCTACAAGGGAGACTCCATCTACGGTACGTGGCAAAATGGCGGATCATGTCATCAGCTTCTGAAGCCTCGTGGTAGCCTAGTCATAACAACCAGATTCGCTACGTCAGCCTAGAGATTCTGAACAAAACACACCCACACACACCAACACGAAACATCTAAATCCATATGCATTCATCATTGAGATAGTCCTGGTAGATTGTAAGAATTTATAATTATAGAAATTAAAGATTCTTAAACGATCCCAACTCTCTCTCTCTTCTTGTCTCTCAGTCAATACAGAGTGTTTAAGTAAACTCCCTGATGATAAAAACAACCACTTCTGATTGATTACTTAGATTGTATAAATATACAAAATCAGATAATTAAATTATCTAATTACAGTATATAAATATACAACTTCAAATCACAACAGCTCCAACCCGAGTCCTCAGGTCCACACACCAGAACCTTCTTGAAGTTCTGTATGATCTGTGGCTGTATGTCTTGGACACTCCGGTGAAGAGAGGAGCAGAGCTGTTAACTGACCACTGCCTGGTGGTAAATTGGCTTTGATGGTGGGGAGGAAGCTGACCAGACCTGGTAGGCCTAAAGATAATGTGAGGGTCTGCTGAGAACATCTGGAGTCTCTGGTCAGAGGGAATTTCGATTCCCACCTTCAACAGAATTTTAACATGTCCCAAGGGAAGCGGGAGACAGAGAGTCTGAGTGGGCCATGTTCTTTGCTTCCATTGTCTTTTTTTTTTTACCGTGTCCTGTCTAGCTGTGAAGATATCAGAGCTGATGTCTGAATGCCGAAGACAAGCCTTGCAGTTTTATTCTCGTAGGTGGAGCGTTACACCTTCTGCTATATTGACCACTCCTGATACCAAAACTTTATTAGAAATTGTTTCAGTTGTTTAAAATCCCAATCAGACATGGAGAGAGAAGGAAGAGGTGGGGGAGGGGGGTTCACAAAAACAAACAATAAGTGATGAACAAGAATCACCTTCTAGACCTGCAGAGAGAGAGAAAGGGACACACAAAAATACAAGACCAAAATATCACTGCGCCAACATGAGGATATATAAAAGTAACAATTTTTGCTGAGAAACATATGATAATAATTCACAGTGCATTTAGTGCCAACCACAGCCACCACACAGGTGATGTGTTGAAAATGCTCAAGTCCGTCCTTGTGAGAGCACCATGTGAGCACCTGTGTGCGTAAATGCACTTTTATATGTAAGGGTCCTCTATAGGAGCATCCAATAGTGAGTGTTAGGGCCTGAGGGGCCACAGACCTGCCCCCAAAGATGTGTGGAAGATGGAGGAGTTCCACGCCCTTGAGATTCTTGGGAGACAGGGAGACAGCCGCTGGAGAAGCCCCAACCCCCCTCCCGAAAGGCTGAAAGGGTGTAGTGCTGATGCGTGTTGTTAAAGGGCATTCTATGGTTGAGTGGGGGGGCTAGGGTGGTCAGCCGCCATGACAATGCTTCCATTGTCGAGGCAGCTGACCAAAGCTGCGGTTGCATGGTTGTCGGTGCCTGTTGTAGTGGCAACCCCTGAACCCACTGGTGGACACCAGTGCTGTCAAGCTGAAGAAAGGGTCCTATCAGGTCTTTTTGGCCTATTAGTATCTGCAGGCTGCCGTCACCTGTACCCATCACTCCAAGCTCGGGTGGTTATGGAGGTAAAACCCCAGGTGTGGGAGGAGTTTGGTGAGATCATGGAGCAAGATTTC